GCCCGCCTAAAGCGCCTGGGGGGGGCAAAGCACGCCGGGACTTGTAGTCCGACGCTTCCCCTTCCCCGCTCGCTCATTGGCTGCCGCGCCGCAAAGCACGCCGGGACTTGTAGTCCGACGCTCCATTTCCCCGCTTGCTGATTGGCTGCCGCGCCGCAAAGCACGCTGGGACTTGTAGTCTAGACCCCTCCTCTCCCCCGCCCGGCGCCTCGCCTCCTTCCCAGCATGCACCGCGCCTCCGGGCCTTGCCGTAGCGGAGGCTCCGGGCCTGGTTTTGGGGTGCCCACCCCATAGGGTGCCCCCCATCTATAGGGTGCCCCCCCACCCTCTATAGGGTGCCCCCCACCTATAGGGCCCGGCCATGACCCTGTTTCACTTCGGGAACTGCTTCGCGCTCGCTTATTTCCCCTATTTCATCACGTACAAGTGCAGCGGCCTGTGAGTGGGGGGGGTAATGGGGTGTAATGGGGGATAATGGGGTTATAATGGGGTGTAATGGGGTTATAATGGGGGATAATGGGGTGTAATGGGGTTATAATGGGGGATAATGGGGTTATAATGGGGGATAATGGGGTTATAATGGGGGATAATGGGGGTAATGGGGTTATAATGGGGTTATAATGGGGGATAATGGGGGGTAATGGGGTTATAATGGGGGATAATGGGGTGTAATGGGGTTATAATGGGGGATAATGGGGTTATAATGGGGGATAATGGGGGTAATGGGGTTATAATGGGGGATAATGGGGGGTAATGGGGTTATAATGGGGTTATAATGGGGGATAATGGGGTTATAATGGGGGATAATGGGGTTATAATGGGGGATAATGGGGGTAATGTGGTTATAATGGGGGATAATGGGGTTATAATGGGGTTATAATGGGGGGTAATGGGGTTATAATGGGGTTAATGGGGGATAATGGGGTTATAATGGGGGATAATGGGGTTATAATGGGGGATAATGGGGTTATAATGGGGGGATAATGAAGGGTTATAATGGGGTTATAATGGGGTGTTGTGGGATAAATGGGGATAGACTGGGTTATACTGGGATAGACTGGCTTATAGCGGGTTTATACTGGATTATACTGGGATAGACTGGGTTATACTGCGTTATAGTGGGATATAATGGGATAGACTGGGTTATACTGGGATACAGTGGGGTTATTCTGGGTTAGACTGGATAGACTGGGTTATAGTGGGATATTGTGGAGTTATACTGGGATAGACTGGGTTATACTGGGATATAGTGGGGTTATACTGGGTTAGACTGGGATAGACTGGGTTATAGTGGGGTTAGACTGGGTTATACTGGGATAAACTGGGTTATACTGGCTTATAGTGGGGTTATACTGAGTTATAATGGGTTATACTGGGATAAACTGGGATAGACTGGGTTATACTGGGATAGACTGGGTTATACTGGCTTGTAGTGGGGTTATACTGAGTTATAATGGGTTATACTGGGATAGACTGGGATGGACTGGGTTATACTGGGATAGACTGCAATATAGTGGGGTTATACAGGGATAGACTGGGTTATAGTGGGGTTAGACTGGGTTATACTGGGATAAACTGGGTTATACTGGCTTGTAGTGGGGTTATACTGAGTTATAATGGGTTATACTGGGATAGACTGGGATGGACTGGGTTATACTGGGATAGACTGCAATATAGTGGGGTTATACAGGGATAGACTGGGTTATACTGGGATAGACTGGGTTATACTGGCTTATAGTGGGGTTATACTGAGTTATAATGGGTTATACTGGGATAAACTGGGATAGACTGGGTTATAGTGGGGTTATACTGGGATAGACTGGGATGGACTGGGTTATACTGGCATAGACTGCAATATAGTGGGGTTATACAGGATAGACTGGGTTATACTGGGATATACTGCAATATAGTGGGGTTATACAGGGATAGACTGGGTTATACTGGGATATATTGGGGTTATACTGGGATATAGTGGGGTTATACTGGGATAGACTGGGTTATACTGGGATATATTGGGGTTATACTGGGATATAGTGGGGTTATACTGGGATAGACTGGGTTATACTGGGATATATTGGGGTTATACTGGGATATAGTGGGGTTATACTGGGATAGACTGGGTTATACTGGGATATAGTGGGGTTATACAGGGATAGACTGGGTTATACTGGGATATATTGGGGTTATACTGGGATATAGTGGGGTTATACTGGGATAGACTGGGTTATACTGGGATATAGTGGGGTTATACAGGGATAGACTGGGTTATACTGGGATAGACTGCAATATAGTGGGGTTATACAGGGATAGGCTGGGTTATACTGGGATATAGTGGGGTTATACTGGGATAGACTGGGTTATACTGGGATATAGTGGGGTTATACAGGGATAGACTGGGTTATACTGGGATATGCTGGGGTTGTACTGGGATGGACTGGGTTATACTGGGATAGACTGCAATTTAGTGGGGATATACTGTGATAAACTGGGTTAGACTGGGGTTATACTGGGATAGACTGGGTTATACTGGTGTATACTGGGATAGACTGGGTTATATTGGGATAGACTGGGGTTGTGCTGGGATGTACTGGGGTATACTGGGATATTGTGGCGTTATACTGGGATATAGTGGGTTATACGGGGGTTATACTGGGTTATACTGGGATATAGTGGGTTATACTGGGATGTAGTGGGTTATACTGGGTTATACTGGGACTGAACTGGTCTGAACTGGTCTGAACTGGTTTGAACTGGGGCAGGTCCGAGTACAGCGCCTTCTGGCGCTGCGTCCAGGCCGGAGCCACCTATGTGCTGGTGCAGCTGGGAAAGGTAGGACCCTATAGAGACCCTATAGAGATCCTATGGAGACCCTATAGAGACCCTATAGAGACCCTATAGAGACCCTATAGAGACCCTATGGGGACCCTATAGAGACCCCATGGGGGGACCCTATAGAGATCCAATGGGGATCCTATAGAGACCCTATGGGGACCCTATAGAGATCCAATGGGGATCCTATAGAGACCCTATAGAGACCCTGTGGGGACCCTATAGAGATCCTATGGGAACCCTATAGAGACCCTATGGGGACCCTATGGGAAGCCTATAGAGACCCTATGGGGACCCTATAGAGACCCTATGGGGACCCGGTAGAGACCCTATGGAGACCCTATAGAGACTTTATGGGGACCCTATAGAGACCCTATGGGGGGGCCCTATAGAGACCCTATGGGGTGTCAGGGGTCCCTATAGGGGGGGTTTGGGGCCCCCTGTGGGGTGTCTGGGGTCCCCTATAGGGCATTTGGGGTCCCCTATAGTGGGTTTGGGCTCCCCTATGGTGTGTTTGGGGTTCCCTATAGGGGGTTTGGGGTCCCCTATGGGGTATTTGGGGCCCCTGTAGAGGGTTTGGGGTCCCCTATAGGGTGTCTGGGGTCCCCTATAGGGTGTTTGGGGTCTCCTATGGGGCATTTGGGGTCTGCTATGGGGTGTCTGGGGTCCCCTATAGGGTGTCTGGGGTCCCCTATGGGGTGTTTGGGGTCCCCTATGGGGTGTCTGGGGCCCCTATAGGGTGTCTGCGGTCCCCTATGGGGCGTTTGGGGTCCCCTATAGGGTGTTTGGTGTCTCCTATGGGGCATTTGGGGTCCGCTATGGGGTGTCTGGGGCCCCTATAGGGTGTCTGGGGTCCCCTATGGGGCATTTGGGGTCCCCTATGGGGTGTCTGGGGTCCGCTATAGGGTTTGGGCCCCCCTGACCCCCATTTCTCCCCCCAGATGCTGTTCCTGGCCACGTTCTTCCCCACATGGGAGGGGCCTTCGGGGGGCTTTGACCTGGTTGGGGTGAGTCCCTATAGAGCCCTATGGAGCCCTGTAGAGCCCTATGGAGCCCTATGGAGCCCTATGGAGCCCTATGGAGCCCTATAGTGCCCTATAGCATCCATAGCCCCCCATTGCCCCTCATTGCGCCCCATTGCCCCATCACCCTCATTCCCCCCATTCCCCCCATAGCCCCCATTCCCCCATTGCCCCCATTCCCCCCATTCCCCCATACCCCCCATAGCCCCCATTCCCCCATTCCCCCCATTCTCCCCATTGCCCCCATTTCCCCATTCCCCCATTACCCCCATAGCCCCCATTCCCCCCATTCTCCCCATTCCCCCCATTTCCCCATTCCCCCCATTCCCCCATCACCCCCATTACCCCATTACCCCCATTCCCCCATTCCCCCCATTCCCCCATTCCCCCCATTCCCCCCATTACCCCATAGCCCCCATAGCCCCCATTCACCCCATTGCCCCCGTTCCCCCCATAGCCCCATTCACCCCATTCCCCCCATTCCCCATAGCCCCCATCACCCCCATTCCCCCCATTCCCCCCATTCCCCCATACCCCCCATTCCCCCATCACCCCCATTACCCCATTCCCCCCATACCCCCCATAGCCCCCATCCCCCCATAGCCCCCATCCCCCCATCACCCCCATTCCCCCCATCACCCCCATTCCCCCCATTCCCCCATTCCCCCCATTCCCCCCATTCCCATTACCCCCATTCCCCCCATCACCCCCATTACCCCCATACCCCCATTCCCCCCATTCCCCCATTCCCCCCCATTCCCCCCATCGCCCCCATTCCCCCCATAGCCCCCCATAGCCCCCATTCACCCCATAGCCCCCATTCCCCCATAGCCCCCATCACCCCATTACCCCCATTCCCCCCATAGCCCCCCATAGCCCCCCCTTACCCCATTGCCCCCCCCCTGTCCCCAGGAGTTCCTTAGGGCCACTGTGGACGTGCTGGACCTGGGGGGGCTGCAGTTGGCTTTGGGCCGGGGGGGGGCCGGGGGGAAGCTTCGAATCCTCGTGGCTGCTCTGGGCTGGGCCAGCGCCGAGCTCCTCACATCCAGGTCAGTGGGGGGGGTAATGGGGGTGTGGGGCAATGGGGGTGGGGGGGTGTGGGGGGGATGGGGGGGGTGGGGGGGTGGGGGTTATGGGGCAATGGGGGGTGTGGGGGCTATGGGGGGTGTGGGGGGTAGGGAGGGTGTGGGGGATAATGGGGGCTATGGGGCAATGAGGGGGGTGGGGGGGATGGGGGGGGTGGGGGGGGGGGGCTATGGGGCAATGAGGGGGGTGGGGGGGATGGGGAGGGATGGGGGCTATGGGGCAGTGGGGGGTGTGGGGGGGATGGGGGGTGTGGGGGGGTGGGGGGTTATAGAGGGGGTGGGGGGGATGGGGGCTATGGGGCAATGAGGGGGTGGGGGGGATGGGGGCTATGGGGGGTGTGGGGGGTAGGGAGGGTGTGGGGGATAATGGGGTTATGGGGCAATGAGGGGGGTGGGGGGGATGGGGGGGGTGGGGGGGGTGGGGGCTATGGGGCAATGGGGGCAATGAGGGGGGTGGGGGGGATGGGGAGGGATGGGGGCTATGGGGCAGTGGGGGGTGTGGGGGGGATGGGGGGGGTGGGGGGTTATAGAGGGGGTGGGGGGGATGGGGGCTATGGGGCAATGAGGGGGTGGGGGGATGGGGGGGGGTGGGGGCTATGGGGCAATGGGACAATGAGGGGGGTGGGGGGGATGGGGAGGGATGGGGGCTATGGGGCAGTGGGGGGTGTGGGGGGGATGGGGGGGGTGGGGGGTTATAGAGGGGGTGGGGGGGATGGGGGGTGTGGGGGGGGTGGGGGGTTATAGAGGGGGTGGGGGGGATGGGGGCTATGGGGCAATGAGGGGGTGGGGGGGATGGGGGGTGTGGGGGGGATGGGGGGGATGAGGGGTGTGGGGGGGGATGGGGGTTATAGGGGCTGTGGGGGGTAATGGGGGCTATTGGGGCTATGTGGGGTATAGGGGCTATAGGGGCTATGGGGGCTATAGGGGCTATGGGGCGCTCTATAGGGGTTTTATTGGGAGTCTGGGGGGCGGTTGTGGGGGTCTTTAGGTGGTTTATGGGGTCTATGGGGTGTTATGGCGGGTCTATAGGGCACATATGGGGGGCTATATGGTGTCTGGGGGGGGTCTTGGGTTTATAGTGGGTCTGTTGGGGGCTATCGGGGGTCTATGGGGTTGTATAGGGGATCTATGGGGGGTTTGGGGAGCCTATAGGGGATCTATGGGGGTTTGGGGGGGGTCTGTGGGCGTCTATAGGGGGTCTATGGGGTTGTTGGGGGGGTCTATAGGGCGCCTATGGGGGGTTTGATGGGTCTATGGGGATCTATGGGGGTTTGGGGGGGGTCTGTGGGCGTCTATAGGGGGTCTATGGGGTTGTTGGGGGGGTCTATAGGGCGCCTATGGGGGGTTTGATGGGTCTATGGGGATCTATGGGGGATCTATGGGGGTTTGGGGGGGGTCTGTGGGCATCTATAGGGGGTCTATGGGGTTGTTGGGGGGTTCTATGGAGGGGTTGGTGGGTCTATAGGGCATCTGTGGGGGGTTTGAGGTGTCTATAGGGGGTCTCTGGGGGTTTGGGGCTGGGTTTAAGGGGTCTATGGGGTCTGGGGCCTGGTCTCTATGGGCACGTATAGGTTTTATAGGGTTTATAGGTTGCATAGGCTCTATAGGCTCTATGGGTCTATAGGTTCTATAGGGTCCATAGACTCTACAAGGTCCATAGGATCTATAGGTTCTATAGGGTACATAGGCTCTACAAGGTCCATAGGGTCTATAGGTTCTATAGGATCCATAGACTCTACAAGGTCCATAGGGTGTATAGGCTCTGTAGAGTGCATAGGTTCTACAAGGTCCATAGGGTCCGTAGGCTCTATAGAGTCCATAGGGTCTATAGGTTCTATAGGGTCTTTAGGGTCCATGGGGTCCATAGGGTCTATAGGTTCTATAGGGTCCATAGGCTCCATAGGGTCTATAGGCTCTATAGGATCCATAGGCTTTATAGGGTCCATGGGGTCCATAGGGTCTATAGGTTCTATAGGGTCCATAAGCTTTATAGGGTCCATAGGCTCCATAGGGTCTATAGCCTCTATAGGGTCCATAGGCTGTATAGGGTCCATAGGATCCATAGGGTCTATAGGGTCCATGGGGTCCATAGGGTCTATAGGTTCTATAGGGTCCATAGGCTCTATATGGTCTATAGGCTCTACAGGGTCCATGGGATCCATAGGGTCTATAGGGGCCATAGGCTCTATAGGTTCTATAGATTCTATAGGCTCTATAGGGTCCATAGGGTCTACAGGCTCCATAGGGTCTATAGGGTCCATAGGGTCTATAGGCTCTATAGGGTCCATAGGTCTGTAGGGTCTATAGGTTCTATAGGGTCCATAGGGCCCATAGGCTCTATAGGGTCCATGGGGTCCATAGGGTCTATAGGGTCCATAGGCAATATAGGGTCCATAGGTCTGTAGGGTCCATAGGCTCTATAGGGTCCATAGGGTCTATAGGGTCCATAGGGCCCATAGGCTCTATAGGGTCCATAGGCTCTATAGGGTCCATAGGGTCCATGGGGTCCATAGGCTCTATAGGGTCCATAGGGCCCATAGGCTCCATTGGGTCCATAGGGTCTATAGGGTCCATAGGCTCTATAGGTTCTATAGGGCCCATAGGCTCTATAGGGTCCATGGGGTCCATAGGGTCCATAGGCTCTATAGGGTCCATAGGCTCTATAGGTCTGTAGGCTCTATAGGGTCTATAGGGTCCATAGGTTCTATAGGGTCTATAGGGTCCATAGGTTTGTAGGCTCTATAGGGTCTATAGGGCCCATAGGTTCTATAGGGTCCATAGGGCCCATAGGTTCTATAGGGTCCATAGGGCCCATAGGCTCTATAGGGTCTATAGGGTCTATAGGGTCCATAGGCCCCATAGGGTCTATAGGGTCCATGGGGTCCATAGGGTCCATAGGTTCTATAGGGTCCATAGGGTCTATAGGGTCCATAGGGTCCATAGGGTCTATAGGGCCCATAGGGTCTATAGGGTCCATGGGGTCCCCTGTGGGCGCAGGTGCGTGCCGCTGTGGGTCGGAGCACGGGGGGTGGAGTTCGACTGGAGGCACCTGCAGATGGGGCTGGACTCCAACATCAGCCTGGTGAGCACTGGGATGGACTGGGATTGAACTGGGAGGGACTGGGATGGACTGGGATTGAACTGGGATGGACTGGGATGGACTGGGATGGACTGGGATGGACTGGGATTGAACTGGGATGGACTGGGATTGAACTGGGATGGACTGGGATGGACTGGGATTGAACTGGGATGGACTGGGATGGACTGGGATTGAACTGGGATGGACTGGGATGGACTGGGATTGAACTGGGATGGACTGGGATTGAACTGGGATGGACTGGGATGGACTGGGATTGAACTGGGATGGACTGGGATGGACTGGGATTGAACTGGGATGGACTGGGATGGACTGGGATTGAACTGGGATGGACTGGGATTGAACTGGGATGGACTGGGATTGAACTGGGATGGACTGGGATGGACTGGGATTGAACTGGGATGGACTGGGATTGAACTGGGATGGACTGGGATGGACTGGGAGGGACTGGGATGGGATTGGGAGGGACTGGGAGGGACTGGGAGGGACTGGGGGGGACTGGGAGGGACTGGGGGGGGATTGGGATGGACTGGGAGGGGTCATTGATATCAATGGGGGGGTCATTGGGGTCAATGGGGGGGTCAATGCAATCAATGGGGGTCAATGTGGGGGTCAGTGTGGGGGTCAATGTGTGGGTCAATGGGAGGGTCACTGGGGGGGTGTCAATATGTGGGTCACTGAGGGGGGGTTAATGTGTGGGTCAATGTGTGGGTCAATGTGGGTCAATGTGTGGGTCACTGTGGGGGGGGGTCAATGTGTGGGTCAATGTGGGTCAATGTGGGGGTCAGTGTGTGGGTCAATGGGAGGGTCACTGGGGGGGGTCAATGTGTGGGTCAATGTGGGTCAATATGTGGGTCAATGTGTGGGTCACTGTGGGGGGGGGGTCAATGTGTGGGTCAGTGTGTGGGTCAATGTGTGGGTCAATGTGTGGGTCAATGTGGGTCAATGTGGGTCAATGTGTGGGTCAGTGTGTGTGGGTCAATGTGTGGGTCACTGAGGGGGGGTCAATGTGTGGGTCAATGTGGGTCAATGTGTGGGTCACTGTGGGGGGGGTCAATGTGTGGGTCAATGTGTGGGTCAATGTGGGTCAATGTGTGGGTCAATGTGGGTCAATGTGTGGGTCAATGGGGTCAATATGGGTCAATGTGTGGGTCAATGTGGGTCAATGTGTGGGTCAGTGTGTGGGTCAATGTGTGCGTCAATGTGTGGGTCAATGTGTGGGTCAATGTGTGGGTCAATGTGGGTCAATATGTGGGTCACTGGTGGGGTGTCAATGTGTGGGTCAATGTGGGTCAGTGTGTGGGTCAATGTGGGTCAATGTGTGGGTCAATGTGGGTCAATGTGTGGGTCAATGTGTGGGTCAATGTGGGTCAATGTGTGGGTCAATGTGGGTCAATGTGTGGGTCAATGTGGGTCAATGTGGGTCAATGTGTGGGTCACGTGGTCCCTCCCCCCCCCCCAGGCTCGTCACGTGGCCGCGGCCGCCTGCTGTGGGTCTCGGGGCGCCAGGAGCTGCCCCCACGCTCGCGCCTGCCCCTGGGGGGGCTCCTCCTGGCCGCAGCCTATGAGGGCTTCCTGAGCGGGTAAAAGGGGGCGGGGCTTAACGGGAGCCAGCCAATGGGAGCGGGGAATGGGCGTGGGTGGGGCTTGGAGGGAGCCAATGGGAGGGGGGAGTGGGGGTGAATGGGGGTTCAGTGGGGGTGAATGGGGCTGGGGATCAATGGGGATCAATGGGGGGGATCAATGGGGATGAATGGGGCTGGGGTTCAATGGGGGTGAATGGGGGGATCAATGGGGATGAATGGGGCTGGGGTTCAATGGGGGGGTTCAATGGGGCTGGGGTCTAATAGGGATGAATGGGGATCAATGGGGGGATCAATGGGGATGAATGGGGGGATCTATGGGGATGAATGGGGCTGGGGTTCAATGGGGATCAATGGGGGGATCAATGGGGGTGAATGGGGCTGGGGTTCAATGGGGATCAATGGGGGGATCAATGGGGATGAATGGGGCTGGGGTTCAATGGGGATCAATGGGGGGTTCAGTGGGGGTGAATGGGGCTGGGGATCAATGGGGGTGAATGGGGGGGATCTATGGGGATGAATGGGGCTGGGGTTCAATGGGGATCAATGGGGGGATCAATGGGGATGAATGGGGCTGGGTTCAATGGGGATCAATGGGGGGATCAATGGGGATGAATGGGGCTGGGTTCAATGGGGATCAATGGGGGGATCAATGGGGATGAATGGGGCTGGGGTTCAATGGGGATCAATGGGGGGTTCAGTGGGGGTGAATGGGGCTGGGGATCAATGGGGGTGAATGGGGGGATCTATGGGGATGAATGGGGCTGGGGTTCAATGGGGATCAATGGGGGGATCAATGGGGATGAATGGGGCTGGGGTTCAATGGGGATCAATGGGGGGATCAAATGGGGATGAATGGGGCTGGGGTTCAATGGGGATCAATGGGGGGATCAATGGGGATGAATGGGGCTGGGGTTCAATGGGGATCAATGGGGGGGTTCAATGGGGCTGGGGTCTAATAGGGATGAATGGGGCTGGGGTTCAATGGGCATGAACGGGGGGGTTCAATAGGGATCAATGGGGGGTCAATGGGGATGAATGGGGGGATGAATGGGGCTGGGGTCTAATGGGGATGAATGGGGCTGGGTTCAATGGGGCTGGGGTTCCATAGGGATGAATGGGGCTGGGTTCAATGGGGCTGGAGTTCCATAGGGATGAATGGGGCTGGGGTTCAATGGGGATCAATGGGGGGGTTCAATGGGGCTGGGGTCTAATAGGGATGAATGGGGATCAATGGGGGGATCAATGGGGATGAATGGGGCTGGGGATCAATGGGGGTGAATGGGGGGATCAATGGGGATGAATGGGGGTTCAGTGGGGGTGAATGGGGGGGATCAATGGGGGTGAATGGGGGGGATCAATGGGAATGAATGGGGCTGGGGTTCAATGGGGATCAATGGGGGGGTTCAATGGGGCTGGGGTCTAATAGGGATGAATGGGGCTGGGGTTCAATGGGCATGAACGGGGGGGTTCAATAGGGATCAATGGGGGGTCAATGGGGATGAATGGGGGGGATGAATGGGGCTGGGGTCTAATGGGGATGAATGGGGCTGGGTTCAATGGGGCTGGGGTTCCATAGGGATGAATGGGGCTGGGTTCAATGGGGCTGGAGTTCCCATAGGGATGAATGGGGCTGGGGTTCAATGGGGATTGGGTTCAATGGGGCTGGGGTCTAATAGGGATGAATGGGGATCAATGGGGGGATCAATGGGGATGAATGGGGCTGGGGATCAATGGGGGTGAATGGGGGGATCAATGGGGATGAATGGGGGTTCAGTGGGGGTGAATGGGGGGGATCAATGGGGGTGAATGGGGGGGATCAATGGGAATGAATGGGGCTGGGGTTCAATGGGGATCAATGGGGGGATCAATGGGGATGAATGGGGCTGGGGTTCAATGGGGATCAATGGGGGGATCAATGGGGATGAATGGGGCTGGGGTTCAATGGGGATCAATGGGGGGGTTCAATGGGGCTGGGGTCTAATAGGGATGAATGGGGCTGGGGTTCAATGGGCATGAACGGGGGGGTTCAATAGGGATCAATGGGGGGTCAATGGGGATGAATGGGGGGGATGAATGGGGCTGGGGTCTAATGGGGATGAATGGGGCTGGGTTCAATGGGGCTGGGGTTCCATAGGGATGAATGGGGCTGGGTTCAATGGGGCTGGAGTTCCATAGGGATGAATGGGGCTGGGTTCAATGGGGCTGGAGTTCCATAGGGATGAATGGGGCTGGGTTCAATGGGGCTGGGGTCTAATAGGGATGAATGGGGCTGGGTTGAATGGGGGGTTCAATGGGGATGAATGGGGTTGCGGTCTAATAGGGATGAATGGGGGGATCAATGGGGTTGAATGGGGCTGGGGTTCCATAGGGACAAATGGGGCTGGGTTCAATGGGGGGGTTCAATGGGGCTGGGTCAATGGGGATGAATGGGGCTGGGTTGAATGGGGCTGGGTCTAATAAGGATCAATGGGGCTGGGTTGAATGGGGGGATCAATGGGGCTGGGTTGAATGGGGCTGGGTCTAATAGGGCTCAATGGGGCTGGGTTGAATGGGGGGATCAATGGGGATCAATGGGGCTGGGTTCAATGGGGCTGGGTCTAATAGGGCTCAATGGGGCTGGGTTGAATGGGGGGATCAATGGGGCTGGGTTCAATGGGGCTGGGTCTAATAGGGATCAATGGGGCTGGGTTCAATGGGGCTGGGTCTAATAGGGATCAATGGGGCTGGGTTCAATGGGGCTGGGTCTAATAGGGATCAATGGGGCTGGGTTCAATGGGGCTGGGGTCTAATAGGGATCAATGGGGCTGGGTTCAATGGGGCTGGGTCTAATAGGGATCAATGGGGCTGGGTTCAATGGGGCTGGGTCTAATAGGGATCAATGGGGCTGGGTTCAATGGGGCTGGGTCTAATAGGGATCAATGGGGCTGGATTCAATGGGGCTGGGTCTAATAGGGCTCAATGGGGCTGGGTTCAATGGGGCTGGGTCTAATAGGGCTCAATGGGGCTGGGTTGAATGGGGGGATCAATGGGGCTGGGTTGAATGGGGGCTGTTCAATGGGGATGAATGGAAGGGGAGGGGCGTATCTGACGCCCCGCCCCCTTTTTTTTCCCCCCTCCCCTCTCTGTGACGTCACAGGTGGGCGGGGCAGGCGCTGGGGCTGGGGCCCTGGGGGGCGCTGGGGCTGCGGGCGCTGGGCGCTGTGGGGCTGGGGCTTGGGGCCCTGCGGCTCCTGGCCCCACTCCTGCCCCCCCCCTGAAGTAAAGGAGACCCCGTGGCAGCGGCATCTGTGGGGCGCAAATGGGGGGGGGGGTATGGGGGTGCTATGGGGCTGGGGGGGACCTATAGGGGGGTATGGGGGGGTATATAGGGGTATGTGGGTGCGCCCTATAGGGGGCTATGGGGGGGACCTATAGGGGGCTATGGGGGGCTATGGGGCTGGGGGGACCTATAGGGGGGTATGGGGGGCATATAGGGGTATGTAAGTGGGGTCTATGGGGGGGACCTATAGGGGGGTATGGGGGCATATAGGGGTATGTAAGTGGGGTCTATGGGGGGCTATGGGGGGGACCTATAGGGGGCTATGGGGGGCATATAGGGGTATGTGGGTGCGCCCTATAGGGGGCTATGGGGGGGACCTATAGGGGGCTATGGGGGGCTATGGGGCTGGGGGGGACCTATAGGGGGGTATGGGGGGGGTATATAGGGGTATGTGGGTGCGCCCTATAGGGGGCTATGGGGGGGACCTATAGGGGGCTATGGGGGGCTATGGGGCTGGGGGGGACCTATAGGGGGGTATGGGGGGCATATAGGGGTATGTAAGTGGGGTCTATGGGGGGGACCTATAGGGGGGTATGAAGGGGCATATAGGGGTATGTGGGTGCGCCCCATAGGGGGCTATGGGGGGGACCTATAGGGGGCTATGGGTGGCTATGGGGCTGGGGGGGACCTATAGGGGGGTATGGGGGGCATATAGGGGTATGTAAGTGGGGTCTATGGGGGGGACCTATAGGGGGGTATGGGGGGCATATAGGGGTATGTAAGTGGGGTCTATGGGGGGCTATGGGGGGGACCTATAGGGGGCTATGGGGGGCATATAGGGGTATGTGGGTGCGCCCTATAGGGGGCTATGGGGGGGACCTATAGGGGGCTATGGGGGGCTATGGGGCTGGGGGGGACCTATAGGGGGGTATGGGGGGGTATATAGGGGTATGTGGGTGCGCCCTATAGGGGGCTATGGGGGGGACCTATAGGGGGCTATGGGGGGCTATGGGGCTGGGGGGACCTATAGGGGGGTATGGGGGGCATATAGGGGTATGTGGGTGCGCCCCATAGGGGGCTATGGGGGGGACCTATAGGGGGCTATGGGGGGGTATATAGGGGTATGTGGGTGCGCCCTATAGGGGGCTATGGGGGGGACCTATAGGGGGCTATGGGGGGCTATGGGGCTGGGGGGGACCTATAGGGGGGTATGGGGGGGTATATAGGGGTATGTGGGTGCGCCCTATAGGGGGCTATGGGGGGGACCTATAGGGGGCTATGGGGGGGTATATAGGGGTATGTGGGTGCGCCCTATAGGGGGCTATGGGGGGGAACCTATGGGGGGGCATATAGGGGTATGTGGGTGCGCCCTATAGGGGGCTATGGGGGGGAACCTATGGAGGGGCATATAGGGGTATGTAAGTGGGGTCTATGGGGGGCTATGGGGGGGACCTATAGGGGGCTATGGGGGGGGTGTAGGGATCTGTGGGGTAGGGGGCTATGGGAGGGCATATAGGGGTATGTGGGTGCGCCCCATAGGGGGCTGGGGGGGGGGACCTATAGGGGGCTATGGGGGGGCATATAGGGGTATGTGGGTGCACCCTATAGGGGGCTATGGGGGGGACCTATAGGGGGCTATGGGAGGCCTGTAGGGTTCTGTGGGGTGGGGACGCTATAGGGGGCTATGGGGGGCCATATAGGGGTATGTGGGTGGGCCCTATAGGGGGCTATGGGGGGGGGACCTATAGGGGCTATGGGGGGGACCTATAGGGGGCTATGGGGAGGGTCCTGTAGGGTGCTGTGGGGGGGCATATAGGGGTATGTAAGTGGTGTCTATGGGGGGCTATGGGGGGGGACCTATAGGGGGCTATGGGGGGCCTATAGGGCTCTGTGGGGTAGGGGGCTATGGGGGGTTTATAGGGGGCTATGGGGTGGAGGGCCTATAGGGGTGTATGGGGGGGACCTATAGGGGGCTATGGGGGGCTGTAGGGGTCTGTGGGGTAGGGGGCTATAGGGTGGAGGGCCTATAGGGGTATATGGGATGGGTATAGGGGGCTATGGGGGGGGGATCTATAGGGCTATATGGGGGGGTATAGGGGGCTATGGGGGGGGATCTCTAGGGGTATATGGGGGGTATAGGGGGCTATGGGGTGGAGGGCCTATGGGGGGGGGGTGTATGGGAGGGGTGGGACCCATAGACTTGGGGGGCACCCATGGAGGAGTCTGCAGTGGCCCTATAGGGGTCTATGGGGGGGCTATAGGGGTCTATGGGGGGGCTATAGGGGTCTATGGGGGGTATAGGGGTCTATGGGGGGGCTATAGGGGTCTATGGGGGGGCTATAGGGGTCAATGGGGAGCTATAGGGGTTCTATGGGGGGCTATAGGGGTCTATGGGGGCTATAGGGGTCTATGGGGGGGGTGGTCTATAGGGGTTGGGGTCCCATAGAGTTTGAGAGCACCCATAGGGGTTGGGGGACACACAAGGGGTTGGGGGACACCCATAGCTTATGGGGAGCACCCATAGGGGTTGGGGGACACACAAGGGGTCGGGGGGCACCCATGGGTGCTGAAGGGCACCCATTGATGTGGGGGGAGCACAGGAGTTTATTGGGGTACAGGGGGGTGATGGGGGCACCCATAGGGTTTGGGGGCACCCATAGGGGTTGGGGGGACCCATAGGTTGTGGGAGCACCCATAGGGTCATGGGGGCACCCATAGGGGTTGGGGGCACCCATAGGGTCATGGGGGCACCCATAGGGGGTTGGGGGCACCCATAGGGGGTTGGGGGTACCCATAGGGGTTGAGGGCACCCATAGGATCATGGGGGCACCCATAGGGATTGGGGGCACCCATAGGGGTTGGGGGCACCCATAGGGGGTTGGGGGCACCCATAGGGGTTGGGGGCACCCATGGGTGGGGGGGGGGGGTGTCCATGGGGTGCCCCAGGTCAGTAGTAGAGCTCTCGGTCCCACCAGCCTATGGGGAGAAACAAGAGAGGTGAGGGGTCTATGGGTGCCCTATAGCACCCTATGGCGCCCTATAGCACCCTATGGGCATCTATAGCACCCTTGGGCGTCCTATGGCACCCTATGGGCATCTATAGCACCCTGTGGCGCCCTATGGCACCCTATGGCGCCCTATAGCACCCTATGGGCATCTATAGCACCCTATGGGCGTCCTATGGCACCCTATGGGCATCTATAGCACCCTGTGGGCATCTATAGCACCCTATGGGCACCCTATAGTACCCTATGGGCACCTATAGCACCCTATGGCGCCCTATAGCACCCTATACGCACCCTATAGCACCCTATGGCACCCTATAGCACCCTATGGCACCCTATAGCACCCTGTGGGCACCTATAGCACCCTATGGCGCCCTATAGCACCCTATACGCACCCTATGGGCACCCTATAGCACCCTATGGGCGTCCTATAGCACCCTATACGCACCCTATAGCACCCTATGGGCACCCTATAGCACCCTATGGCACCGTATAGGCACCTATAGCACCCTATGGGCACCTATAGCACCCTATGGGCACCCTATAGCGCCCTATAGGCAAACTATGGTATCCCATGACACCCTATGGCACCCCATTGGCACCCCACAAGCACATACATCAGCATCTATAGCACCCTGTGGGCACCCTATAGCACCCTATGGGCACCTATAGCACCCTGTGGGCACCCTATAGCACCCTATAGGCAAACTATGGTATCCCATGACACCCTATGGCACCCCATTGGCACCCCACAAGCATGTATAGCAGCAGCTATAGCACCCTATGGGCACCTATAGCACCCTATGGGCCCCTATAGCCCCTATAACCCCCTATACCCCCTTATAGCACCCTATAGCACCTTATCGACCCCATAGCACCCTATAGCCTCTTACAGCACCCTATAGCCCCTTATAGCACCCTATCGGCCCCTATAGCACCCTATAGCTCCTTATAGCCCCCTATAGCACCCCATAGCCCCCTATAGCCCCCCATAGCCCCCTATAGCCCCCTATTGCACCCTATAACCCCTATAGCACCCCATAGCCCCCTATAGCCTCCCATAGCCCCCATAGCCCCCTATAGCCCCCCATAGCACCCTATACCCCCCATAGCTCCCCATAGCACCCCATAGCGCCCCATAGCACCCCATAGCCCCCCCATAGCCCCCATAGCACCCCATAGCACCCCATAGCCCCCCATAGCACCCATAGCACCCATAGCCCCCCATAGCCCCCCATAGCACCCATAGCCCCCCATAGCCCCCCATAGCACCCCATAGCCCCCATAGCACCCCATAGCCCCCTATAGCACCCCATAGCCCCCCATAGCACCCATAGCCCCCCATAGCACCCATAGCCCCCCATAGCGCCCCATAGCACCCATAGCCCCCATAGCACCCCATAGCGCCCCATAGCACCCATAGCCCCCCATAGCACCCATAGCCCCCCATAGCGCCCCATAGCACCCATAGCACCCATAGCCCCCCATAGCGCCCCATAGCCCCCATAGGCCCCCTATAGCCCCCCATAGCACCCACAGCCTCCCATAGCGCCCCATAGCACCCATAGCCCCCCATAGCACCCCATAGCGCCCCATAGCACCCCATAGCACCCCATAGCGCCCCATAGCCCCCATAGCACCCTATACCCCCCATAGCACCCATAGCACCCCATAGCACCCCATAGCACACCATTAGCCCCCATAGCACCCTATACCCCCCATAGCACCCCATAGACCCCCATAGCACCCCATAGCCCCCCATAGCACCCCATAGCACCCATAGCCCCCCATAGCGCCCCATAGCGCCCCATACCGCCCCATAGCCCCCCATAGCACCCCATAGCACCCCATAGCACCCCATAGCACCCCATAGCACCCATAGCCCCCCATAGCGCCCCAGAGCACCCATAGCCCCCCATAGCGCCCCATAGCACCCCATAGCACCCCATAGCACCCCATAGCGCCCCATAGCCCCCCATAGCACCCATAGCCCCCCATAGCGCCCCATAGCACCCATAGCCCCCCATAGCGCCCCATAGCACCCATAGCGCCCCATAGCGCCCCATAGCACTCACTGCCCGGGTGCCGGCGCACCCCCAGCTTGCGGATCTCGTCGTAGACCAGGATGAGGAGCCCATAGGGCATCGGGACGAGCCACCATTGGAAGCTGGGCAGGGACCGGGGGGTCAATGGGGGCTATGGGGCGATGGGGGCAAGGGGGGCTATGGGGCAATGGGGGTAATGGGGGGGTCAATGGGGACTCAATGGATGTCGATATCAATGGGGGGGTAGTGGGTATCAATAGGGTCGATGGGGAGTCAATGGGGGTCAATGATGTCGATGGGGGTCAATGGGTATCAATAGGGTCGATGGGGAGTCAATGGGGGTCAATGGGTATCAATGGGGGGGCAGTGGGTATCAATAGGGTCGATGGGTATCAATGGGGGTCAATGATGTCAATGGGGGTCAATGGGTATCAATGGGGGGGCAGTGGGTATCAATAGGGTCGATGGGGAGTCAATGGGGGTCAATGATGTCGATGGGGGTCAATGGGTATCAATAGGGTCGATGGGGAGTCAATGGGGGTCAATGATTTCGATGGGGGTCAATGGGTATCAATAGGGTCGATGGGTATCAATGGGGGTCAATGATGTCGATGGGGGTCAATGGGTATCAATAGGGTCGATGGGGAGTCAATGGGGGTCAATGATGTCGATGGGGGTCAATGGGTATCAATAGGGTCGATGGGGAGTCAATGGGGGTCAATGATTTCGATGGGGGTCAATGGGTATCAATAGGGTCGATGGGTATCAATGGGGGTCAATGATGTCAATGGGGGTCAATGGGTATCAATAGGGTCGATGGGGAGTCAATGGGGGTCAATGATGTCAATGGGGGTCAATGGGTATCAATAGGGTCGATGGGGAGTCAATGGGGGTCAATGATGTCGATGGGGGTCAATGGGTATCAATGGGAGTCAATGGGTCTCAATGGGGTCAATGAGTCTCAATGGGTGCCTATGAGTGTCAGTGGGTCTCAATGGGTCTCAGTGGGTCTGAATGGGTGCCTATGAGTGTCAATGGGTGCTGTGGGTCCTCAATGAGTCTCAATGTGTGTCAGTGGGTGTCAATGGGTCTCAGTGGGTCTCAGTGGGTCTCAATGAGTGTCAATGGGTGTCAGTGGGGTCGATGGATCTCAGTGGGTCTCAATGGGTCTCAGTGGGTCTCAATGAGTCTCAATGAGTGTCAGTGGGGTCAATGGGTCTCAATGAGTGTCAATGGGTGCTGTGGGTCTCAATGGGTCTCAATGGGTCTCAGTGGGTCTCAGTGGGTGCTGTGGGTCTCAGTGGGTCTCAATGAGTCTCAGTGGGTCTCAGTGGGTCTCAGTGGGTGCTGTGGGTCTCAGTGGGTCTCAATGGGTTTCAGTGGGTCTCAGTGGGTCTCAGTGGGTCTCAGTGGGTCTCAGTGGGTCTCAGTGGGTGTCAATGGGTCTCAGTGGGTCTCAGTGGGTCTCAATGGGTCTCAATGGGTCTCAGTGGGTCTCAGTGGGTCCCAGTGGGCCGTGCTCACCGGATGGGCATGAAGTTGAAGACGTTGGGCATCCCGGGGCAGTAGCACAGGAAGCAGCCAATGGAAACCTGGAACACGATGGCCAGCACCAGGATGCGGTTCCTGCGGGACACGGCGCCCATAGACCCCATAGATCCCATAGACCCCATAGACCCTATAGACCCCATAGGCCCCATAGACCCCATAGACTTCTATAGAGCCCTATAGACCCCATAGACTTCTATAGACCCCATAGGCCCCATAGACCCCATAGACTTCTATAGAGCCCTATAGACCCCATAGACCCCATAGACTTCTATAGAGCCCTATAGACCCCATAGACGCCATAGACTTCTATAGAGCCCTATAGACCCCATAGACCCCATAGACTTCTATAGAGCCCTATAGACCCCATAGACGCCATAGATTCTATAGAGCCCTATAGACCCCATAGACCCCATAGACTTCTATAGAGCCCTATAGACCCCATAGACCCCATAGACTTCTATAGAGCCCTATAGACCCCATAGACCCCATAGACTTCTATAGAGCCCTATAGACCCCATAGACCCCATAGACTTCTATAGAGCCCTATAGACCCCATAGACCCCATAGACTTCTATAGAGCCCTATAGACCCCATAGACCCCATAGACTTCTATAGAGCCCTATAGACCCCATAGACTTCTATAGAGCCCTATAGAGCCCTATAGACCCCATAGACCCATATAAACCCTTATTGACCCTATAGATCCCTATAGACCCCTATAGACATGTATAGACCCCATAGACCCCTATAGACCCCAATAGCCCCATATAGACCCCATAGACCCATATAAACCCCTATAGCCCGCTGTAGACCCCTATAGACCCCAGAGACTCCTATAGACCCCTATAGCCCCCTGTAGACACCTATAGACCCCTATAGCCCACTATAGACACCTATAGACCCATATAGACACCTATAGAACCCATAGACCCCTATAGACATCTATAGGCCCCATAGACCCTTGTAGACACCTATAGCCCCATATAGACCCCATAGACCCTATAGACCCCATAGACCCCTATAGATACCTATAGAGCTCTCTAGACTCCATAGACCCCTGTAGCCAAACAGACACCTATAGACCCCTGTAGAGCCCTATAGACCCCATAGACCCCCTATAGCCTCTATAGACCTCTATAGACCCCTAGACCCCCCTATAGCCTCTATAGACCCCCCTATAGCCTCTATAGACCCCCCTATAGCCTCTATAGACCTCTACACCCCCTATAGACCCATAGCTCCCCCTATAGCCTCTATAGACCCATAGACCCCCCTATCACCTCTATAGACCTCTATAGACCCATAGACCCCCCTGTAGCCTCTATAGATCTCTATAGACCCATAGACACCCCTATAGCCGCTATAGACCCATAGACCCCCCTATAGCCTCTATAGATCTCTACACCCCCTATAGACCCATAGATCCTCCTATAGCCTCTATAGACCCATAGACCCCCCTATCACCTCTATAGACCTCTATAGACCCATAGACCCCCCTATAGCCTCTATAGACCCATAGACCCCCCTATAGCCTCTATAGAGCCCCCTACACCCCCTATAGACCCATAGATCCCCTATAGCCTCTATAGACCCATAGACCCCCTATAGCCTCTATAGACCCATAGACCCCCCTATAGCCTCTATAGACCCATAGACCCCCTATAGTCTCTATAGACCCATAGACCCCCCTATAGCCGCTATAGACCCATAGACCCCCCTATAGCCTCTATAGATCTCTACACCCCCTATAGACCCATAGATCCTCCTATAGCCTCTATAGACCCATAGACCCCCCTATAGCCTCTATAGACCCATAGATCCCCCTATAGCCTCTATAGAGCCCCCTACACCCCCTATAGACCCATAGATCCCCCTATAGCCTCTATAGACCCATAGACCCCCCTATAGCCTCTATAGACCCATAGACCCCCTTATCGACTCTATAGACCTCTACACCCCCTATAGATCCCTCGAGCACTCCATAGCCCCCATAGCCCCCCCCCCCCCATAACCCGCCCCATAGCCCGCCCCATAGCGCCCCATAGGCACCGGAAGAGCCCCTGTTGGAAGAGCGAGAGGCGACGGGTCTTGCGGATGAGCACGTCGGCGATCTGACACATCTCGATGCTGATGAAGAACACGGTGTAGCACGTGTACTGCTGGTACCGGCGCTGCTCGAACGTCTATGGGGAGATGGGGGTCACTGGGGGGCGCTATGGGGCGCTATGGGGCGCTAGAGGGGTCTATTGGGGTCTATTGGGGTCTATCGAGGTCTATTGGGTTCTGTTGGGTTCTATCGGGGTGGTTCGGTAGAGATCTACCGAACGAGATCTAACGTCTATGGGGAGATGTGGGTCACGGGGGGGCGCTATGGGGCGCTATGGGGCGCTAGAGGGGTCTATTGGGGTCTGTTGGGGTCTATCGAGGTCTATTGGGTTCTATCGAGGTCTATTGGGTTCTGTTGGGTTCTATCGGGGTGGTTCGGTAGAGATCTACCGAACGAGATCTAACGTCTATGGGGAGATGTGGGTCACGGGGGGGCGCTATGGGGCGCTATGGGGCGCTAGAGGGGTCTATTGGGGTCTATCGAGGTCTATTGGGGTCTATCGAGGTCTATTGGGTTCTGTTGGGTTCTATCGGAGCGGTTCGGTAGGGATCTACAGGGCTCTATAGGGGGTGGTTCTATGGGGCTCTATAGGGCAGGTCTATAGGGCTCTATAGGGCAGGTCTATGGGGCTCTATAGGGCTTGGTTCTATAGGGTTCTATGGAGCCCAAGAGGGGATGTGGCCAATGTCGATGCTGATGAAGAACACGGTGTAGCACGGGTACTGCTGGTACCGGCGCTGCTCGAACGTCTATGGGGAGATGGGGGTCACTGGGGGGCGCTATGGGGCGCTAGAGGGGTCTATTGGGGTCTATTGGGGTCTATCGAGGTCTATTGGGTTCTGTTGGGTTCTATCGGGGTGGTTCGGTAGAGATCTACCGAACGAGATCTAACGTCTATGGGGAGATGGGGGTCACTTGGGGGGCGCTATGGGGCGCTATGGGGCGCTATGGGGCGCTATGGGGCGCTAGAGGGGTCTATTGGGGTCTATTGGGGTCTATCGAGGTCTATTGGGGTCTATCGAGGTCTATTGGGTTCTGTTGGGTTCTATCGGAGCGGTTCGGTAGGGATCTACAGGGCTCTATAGGGGGTGGTTCTATGGGGCTCTATAGGGCAGGTCTATAGGGTTCTATAGGGCATGTCTATAGGGCTCTATAGGGCTCTATAGGGCAGGTCTATGGGGCTCTATAGGGCTTGGTTCTATAGGGTTCTATGGAGCCCAAGAGGGGATGTGGCCAATGTCGATGCTGATGAAGAACACGGTGTAGCACGGGTACTGCTGGTACCGGCGCTGCTCGAACGTCTATGGGGAGATGGGGGTCACTGGGGGGCGCTATGGGGCGCTATGGGGCGCTAGAGGGGTCTATTGGGGTCTATCGAGGTCTATTGGGGTCTATCGAGGTCTATTGGGTTCTGTTGGGTTCTATCGGGGTGGTTCGGTAGAGATCTACCGAACGAGATCTAACGTCTATGGGGAGATGTGGGTCACAGGGGGGCGCTATGGGGCGCTATGGGGCGCTAGAGGGGTCTATTGGGGTCTATTGGGGTCTATCGAGGTCTATTGGGTTCTGTTGGGTTCTATCGGGGTGCTTCGGTAGAGATCTACCGAATGAGATCTAACGTCTATGGGGAGATGGGGGTCACTTGGGGGGCGCTATGGGGCGCTATGGGGCGCTAGAGGGGTCTATTGGGGTCTATTGGGGTCTATCGAGGTCTATTGGGTTCTGTTGGGTTCTATCGGGGCGGTTCGGTAGGGATCTACAGGGCTCTATAGGGGGTGGTTCTATGGGGCTCTATAGGGCAGGTCTATAGGGTTCTATAGGGCAGGTCTATAGGGGTCTATAGGGCTTGGTTCTATAGGGCTCTATAGGGCTTGGTTCCATAGGGTTCTATAGGGCAGGTCTATAGGGCTCTATAGGGCTCTATAGGGCATGGTTCCATAGGGTTCTATAGGACAGTTCTATAGGGCTCTATAGGGCTTGGTTCTATAGGGTTCTATAGGGCTCTATAGGGCTTGGTTCCATAGTGGTCTATAGGGCAGGTCTATAGGGTTCTATAGGGCTTGGTTCCATAGGGTTCTATAGGGCAGGTCTATAGGGGTCTATAGGGCTTGGTTCTATAGGGTTCTATAGGGCTCTATAGGGCATGGTTCCATAGGGTTCTATAGGGCAGGTCTATAGGGCTCTATAGGGCATGGTTCCATAGGGTTCTATAGGACAGTTCTATAGGGCTCTATAGGGCTTGGTTCCATAGGGGTCTATAGGGCAGGTCTATAGGGCTCTGTAGGGGTTGGTTCTGTAGGGTTCTATAGGGCAGGTCTATAGGGTTCTGTAGGGGTTGGTTCTGTAGGGTTCTATAGGGCAGGTCTATAGGGCTCTATAGGGCTTGGTTCTATAGGGTTCTATAGGGCAGGTCTATAGGGCTCTATAGGGCTTGGTTCTATAGGGTTCTATAGGGCAGGTCTATAGGGTTCTGCAGGGGTTGGTTCTATATGGGGGTTCCATAGGGGGCGGTTCTATGGGGTCCTATAGGGGAGCTTTATAGGGGGGTCCATCAGGTTCTATAGGGGGGCTGTTCCATAGGGCTCTATAGGGGGTTCCCTGTGGGTCTGCCCCATAGGGCTCTATAGGGGGTTCTCTATGGGTCCTCCCCATAGGTCTCTATAGGGGGTTCCCCATGGGTCTGCCCCATAGGTCTCCATAGGTTTCTCCATGGGTCTGCCCCATAGGGGTTTCTCTCTAGGGTTCTCTATGGGTCTGCCCCATAGGGTTCTATAGGGGTTTCTCTCTAGGGTTCTCTATGGGTCTGCCCCATAGGGGTTTCTCTATAGGGGTTTCTCTATGGGTCTGCCCCATATTGGTTCTCTCTATGGGTCTGCCCCATAGGGTTCCATAGGGGTTTCTCTATAGGGGTTCTCTATGGGTCTGCCCCATAGGGTTCCATAGGGGTTTCTCTATAGGGGTTCTCTATGGGTCTGCCCCATAGGGTTCCATAGGAGTTTCTCTCTAGGGTTCTCTATGGGTCTGCCCCATATTGGTTCTCCATGGGTCTGCCCCATAGGGTTCCATAGGGGTTTCTCTATGGGTCTGCCCCATATTGGTTCTCTATGGGTCTGCCCCATAGGCACCCATTGCTGGCCCCATAGGTTTCCATATTGGTTCTCTATGGGTCTGCCCCATAGGGTTCCATAGGGGTCTCTCTATAGGGGTTCTCTATGGGTCTGCCCCATAGGGGTTTCTCTATGGGGTTTCTCTATGGGTCTGCCCCATAGGCACCCATTGCTGGCCCCATAGGGTTCCATAGGGGTTCTCTATAGGGGTTTCTCTATGGGTCTGCCCCATAGGGGTTTCTCTATGGGGTTTCTCTATGGGTCTGCCCCATATTGGTTCTCTATGGGTCTGCCCCATAGGCACCCATTGCTGGCCCCATAGGGTTCCATAGGGGTTCTCTATGGGTCTGCCCCATAGGCACCCATTGCTGGCCCCATAGGGTTCCATAGGGTTTCTCTATGGGTCTGCCCCATAGGGTTTCTCCATGGGTCTGCCCCATAGGCACCCATTGCTGGCCCCATAGGGTTCCATAGGGTTTCTCTATGGGTCTGCCCCATATTGGTTCTCTATGGGTCTGCCCCATAGGGGTTTCTCTATGGGGTTTCTCTATGGGTCTGCCCCATAGGGGTTTCTCTATGGGGTTTCTCTATGGGTCTGCCCCATAGGGTTTCTCCATGGGTCTGCCCCATAGGGGTTTCTCTATGGGTCTGCCCCATAGGGGTTTCTCTATGGGGTTTCTCTATGGGTCTGCCCCATAGGGTTTCTCCATGGGTCTGCCCCTTAGGGGATTCTCTCTATGGGTCTGCCCCATAGGCACCCATTGCTGGCCCCATAGGGTTCCATAGGGGTCTCTCTATAGGGGTTCTCCATGGGTCTGCCCCATAGGCACCCATTGCTGGCCCCATAGGGTTCCATAGGGGTTTCTCTATGGGTCTGCCCCATAGGGTTCCATAGGGGTTTCTCTATGGGTCTGCCCCATAGGGTTCTATAGGGGTTCTCTATGGGTCTGCCCCATATTGGTTCTCTATGGGTCTGCCCCATAGGGTTCCATAGGGGTTTCTCTATGGGGTCTCTCTATGGGTCTGCCCCATAGGCACCCATTGCTGGCCCCTTAGGGTTCCATAGGGGTTTCTCTATGTGTCTGCCCCATAGGGGTTTCTCCATGGGTCTGCCCCATAGGGGTTCTCTATAGGTCTGCCCCATAGGGTTCCATAGGGGTTTCTCTATGGGTCTGCCCCATAGGGTTTCTCTATAGGTCTGCCCCATAGGGTTCCATAGGGGTTTCTCTATGGGTCTGCCCCATAGGGGTTCTCTATGGGTCTGCCCCATAGGCACCCATTGCTGGCCCCATAGGGTTCCATAGGGGTCTCTCTATAGGGTTTCTCTTTGGGTCTGCCCCATAGGCACCCATTGCTGGCCCCATAGGGTTCCATAGGGGTTCTCCATGGGTCTGCCCCATATTGGTTCTCTATGGGTCTGCCCCATAGGGTTCCATAGGGTTTCTCTATGGGTCTGCCCCATAGGCACCCATTGCTGGCCCCATAGGGTTCCATAGGGGTCTCTCCATGGGTCTGCCCCATAGGCACCCATTGCTGGCCCCATAGGGTTCCATAGGGGTCTCTCTATAGGGTTTCTCTATGGGTCTGCCCCATAGGCACCCATTGCTGGCCCCATAGGGTTCCATAGGGGTTTCTCTATGGGGTCTCTCTATGGGTCTGCCCCATAGGCACCCATTGCTGGCCCCATAGGGTTCCATAGGGGTTTCTCTATGGGGTCTCTCTATGGGTCTGCCCCATAGGCACCCATTGCTGGCCCCATAGGGTTCCATAGGGGTCTCTCTATGGGTCTGCCCCATAGGCACCCATTGCTGGCCCCATAGGGTTCCATAGGGGTTCTCTATGGGTCTGCCCCATAGGCACCCATTGCTGGCCCCATAGGGTTCCATAGGGGTTTCTCTATGGGTCTGCCCCATAGGGTTTCTCTATGTGTCTGCCCCATAGGGTTCCATAGGGGTTTCTCTATGGGGTCTCTCTATGGGTCTGCCCCATAGGCACCCATTGCTGGCCCCATAGGGTTCCATAGGGGTTTCTCTATGGGTCTGCCCCATATTGGTTCTCTATGGGTCTGCCCCATAGGCACCCATTGCTGGCCCCATAGGGTTCCATAGGGGTTTCTCCATGGGTCTGCCCCATAGGGGTTCTCCATGGGTCTGCCCCATAGGCACCCATTGCTGGCCCCATAGGGTTCCATAGGGGTTTCTCTATGGGGTCTCTCTATGGGTCTGCCCCATAGGCACCCATTGCTGGCCCCATAGGGTTCCATAGGGGTCTCTCTATGGGTCTGCCCCATAGGCACCCATTGCTGGCCCCATAGGGTTCCATAGGGGTCTCTCTATGGGTCTGCCCCATAGGCACCCATTGCTGGCCCCATAGGGTTCCATATTGGTTCTCTATGGGTCTGCCCCATAGGGTTCCATAGGGGTTTCTCTATGGGGTTTCTCTATGGGTCTGCCCCATAGGGGTTTCTCTATGGGGTCTCTCTATGGGTCTGCCCCATAGGGGTTTCTCTATGGGGTCTCTCTATGGGTCTGCCCCATAGGGGTTCTCTATGGGGTTTCTCCATGGGTCTGCCCCATAGGCACCCATTGCTGGCCCCATAGGGTTCCATAGGGGTTTCTCTATGTGTCTGCCCCATAGGGTTCCATAGGGGTTTCTCTATGATGGGTCCCTATGGGTCTGCCCCATAGGCACCCATTGCTGGCCCCATAGGGTTCCATAGGGGTTTCTCTATGGGGTTTCTCTATGGGTCTGCCCCATAGGGGTTTCTCTATGGGGTCTCTCTATGGGTCTGCCCCATAGGGTTCCATAGGGGTCTCTCTATGGGTCTGCCCCATAGGCACCCATTGCTGGCCCCATAGGGTTCCATAGGGGTTCTCTATGGGTCTGCCCCATATTGGTTCTCTATGGGTCTGCCCCATAGGGTTCCATAGGGGTTTCTCTATGGGTCTGCCCCATAGGCACCCATTGCTGGCCCCATAGGGTTCCATATTGGTTCTCTATGGGTCTGCCCCATAGGGGGTTTCTCTATGGGGTCTCTCTATGGGTCTGCCCCATAGGGGTTCTCTATGGGGTTTCTCCATGGGTCTGCCCCATAGGCACCCATTGCTGGCCCCATAGGGTTCCATAGGGGTTTCTCTATGTGTCTGCCCCATAGGGTTCCATAGGGGTTTTCTCTATGGGGTCTCTCTATGGGTCTGCCCCATAGGCACCCATTGCTAGCCCCATAGGGTTCCATAGGGGTTTCTCTATGGGTTTCTCTATGGGTCTGCCCCATAGGGGTTTCTCTATGGGGTTTCTCTATGGGTCTGCCCCATAGGGGTTCTCTATGGGGTTTCTCTATGGGTCTGCCCCATAGGCACCCATTGCTGGCCCCTTAGGGTTCCATAGGGGTTTCTCTATGGGTCTGCCCATAGGGGTTTCTCTATGGGGGTTCTCTATGGGTCTGCCCCATAGGGGTTTCTCTATGGGGGTTCTCCATGGGTCTGCCCCATAGGCACCCATTGCTGGCCCCATAGGGTTCTATAGGGGTTTCTCTCTAGGGTTCTCTATGGGTCTGCCCCATAGGGTTCCATAGGGTTTCTCTATGTGTCTGCCCCATAGGGTTCCATAGGGGTTCTCTATGGGTCTGCCCCATAGGGGTTTCTCTATGGGGTTTCTCTATGGGTCTGCCCCATAGGCACCCATTGCTGGCCCCATAGGGTTCCATAGGGGTCTCTCTATGGGTCTGCCCCATAGGGGTTTCTCTATGGGGTTTCTCTATGGGTCTGCCCCATAGGCACCCATTGCTGGCCCCATAGGGTTCCATAGGGGTTTCTCTATGGGGTTTCTCTATGGGTCTGCCCCATAGGGGTTTCTCTCTAGGGTTCTCTATGGGTCTGCCCCATAGGGGTTTCTCTCTAGGGTTCTCTATGGGTCTGCCCCCATAGGGTTCCATAGGGGTTTCTCCATGGGTCTGCCCATATTGGTTCTCTCTATGGGTCTGCCCCATAGGCACCCATTGCTGGCCCCATAGGGTTCCATAGGGTCTCTCTATGGGTCTGCCCCATAGGGTTCCATAGGGGTCTCTCTATGGGTCTGCCCCATAGGCACCCATTGCTGGCCCCATAGGGTTCCATAGGGGTTCTCTATGGGTCTGCCCCATAGGCACCCATTGCTGGCCCCATAGGGTTCCATAGGGGTTTCTCTATGGGTCTGCCCCATAGGGGTTTCTCTATGGGTCTGCCCCATAGGGTTCCATAGGGGTTTCTCTATGGGTCTGCCCCATAGGGGTTTCTCTATGGGTCTGCCCCATAGGGTTCCATAGGGGTTTCTCTATGGGTCTGCCCCATAGGGGTTTCTCTATGGGTCTGCCCCATAGGGTTCCATAGGGGTTTCTCTATGTGTCTGCCCCATAGGGGTTCTCTATGGGTCTGCCCCATAGGCACCCATTGCTGGCCCCATAGGGTTCCATAGGGGTTTCTCTATAGGGGTTCTCTATGGGTCTGCCCCATAGGCACCCATTGCTGGCCCCATAGGGTTCCATAGGGGTTTCTCCATGGGTCTGCCCCATAGGGGTTCTCTATGGGGTTTCTCTATGGGTCTGCCCCATAGGGTTCCATAGGGGTTTCTCTATAGGGTTTCTCTATGGGTCTGCCCCATAGGGGTCTCTCTATAGGTCTCTCTATGGGTCTGCCCCATAGGCACCCATTGCTGGCCCCATAGGGTTCCATAGGGGTTCTCCATGGGTCTGCCCCATAGGCACCCATTGCTGGCCCCATAGGGTTCCATAGGGGTTCTCCATGGGTCTGCCCCATAGGGTTCCATAGGGGTTTCTCTCTAGGGTTCTCTATGGGTCTGCCCCATAGGCACCCATTGCTGGCCCCATAGGGTTCCATAGGGGTTTCTCTATGGGGTTTCTCTATGGGTCTGCCCCATAGGGGTTTCTCTCTAGGGTTCTCTATGGGTCTGCCCCATAGGGGTTTCTCTCTAGGGTTCTCTATGGGTCTGCCCCATAGGGTTCCATAGGGGTTTCTCCATGGGTCTGCCCCATATTGGTTCTCTCTATGGGTCTGCCCCATAGGCACCCATTGCTGGCCCCATAGGGTTCCATAGGGGTCTCTCTATGGGTCTGCCCCATAGGGTTCCATAGGGGTCTCTCTATGGGTCTGCCCCATAGGCACCCATTGCTGGCCCCATAGGGTTCCATAGGGGTCTCTCTATGGGGTCTCTCTATGGGTCTGCCCCATAGGCACCCATTGCTGGCCCCATAGGGTTCCATAGGGGTTTCTCTATAGGGGTTCTCTATGGGTCTGCCCCATAGGCACCCATTGCTGGCCCCATAGGGTTCCATAGGGGTTCTCTATGGGTCTGCCCCATAGGGTTCCATAGGGGTTTCTCTATGGGTCTGCCCCATAGGGTTCTATAGGGGTTTCTCTATGGGGTTTCTCTATGGGTCTGCCCCATAGGCACCCATTGCTGGCCCCATAGGGTTCCATATTGGTTCTCTATGGGTCTGCCCCATAGGGTTCCATATTGGTTCTCTATGGGTCTGCCCCATAGGGTTCCATAGGGGTTTCTCTATGGGGTCTCTCTATGGGTCTGCCCCATAGGCACCCATTGCTGGCCCCATAGGGTTCCATATTGGTTCTCTATGGGTCTGCCCCATAGGGTTCCATATTGGTTCTCTATGGGTCTGCCCCATAGGGTTCCATAGGGGTCTCTCTATGGGGTCTCTCTATGGGTCTGCCCCATAGGCACCCATTGCTGGCCCCATAGGGTTCCATAGGGGTTTCTCTATGGGGTTTCTCTATGGGTCTGCCCCATATTGGTTCTCCATGGGTCTGCCCCATAGGCACCCATTGCTGGCCCCATAGGGTTCCATAGGGGTCTCTCTATGGGTCTGCCCCATAGGGGTTCTCTATGGGTCTGCCCCATAGGCACCCATTGCTGGCCCCATAGTGTTCCATAGGGTTTCTCTATGGGGTCTCTCTATGGGTCTGCCCCATAGGGGTTTCTCTATGGGGTCTCTCCATGGGTCTGCCCCATAGGCACCCATTGCTGGCCGTAGCTGTCCTGCAGCTCCTGGTTGTGGGGATCCTCCCAGCGCGGGCGGAGGCCGAGGCAGAGCAGCGGCTCCCACCCCTCCTGCGCCATCGCCACGAAGTAATCGGTGAAACCCGCGAAGGATTGGATGGCGCCTGCGGGGGGCGGGGCCCAGGGATCAGTGGGGCGGGACCCATGGATCAGTGGGGCAGAGATCAGTGGGGCAGGGACACAGAGATCAGTGGGGCAGAGATCAGTGGGGGAGGGACCCATGGATCAGTGGGGCAGAGATCAGTGGGGCGGGGACAGAGATCAGTGGGGCAGAGATCAGTGGGGTGGGACCCATAGATCAGTGGGGCAGGGACACATGGATCAGTGGGGCAGAGATCAGTGGGGCAGAGACACAGAGATCAGTGGGACAGGGACCCATGGATCAGTGGGGCAGGGACACAGAGATCAGTGGGGCAGGGACCCATGGATCAGTGGGGCAGAGATCAGTGGGGCAGGACCCATAGATCAGTGGGGCAGAGATCAGTGGGGCAGGGACACAGAGATCAGTGGGGCAGGGACCCATGGATCAGTGGGGCAGAGATCAGTGGGGCAGGACCCATAGATCAGTGGGGCAGAGATCAGTGGGGCAGGGACACAGAGATCAGTGGGGCAGAGATCAGTGGGGTGGGACACAGAGATCAGTGGGGCAGGATCCATAGATCAGTGGGGCAGAGATAAGTGGGGCAGGGACACAGAGATCAGTGGGGCGGGGACCCAGAGATCAGTGGGGCAGGGACACAGAGATCAGTGGGGCAGAAATCAGTGGGGAGGGACCCAGAGATCAGTGGGAGGGACCCAGAGATCAGTGGGGAAGAGATCAGTGGGTGGGACCCATGGATCAGTGGGGCGGGGACCCAGAGATCAGTGGGGGCGGGGACCCAGAGATCAGTGGGGCAGAGATCAGTGGGGAAGAGATCAGTGGGGTGGGACACAGAGATCAGTGGGGCAGGACCCATAGGTCAGTGGGGCAGAGATCAGTGGGGGAGGGACCCAGGGGTCAGTGGGGCAGAGATCAGTGGGGCAGGGACCCATAGATCAGTGGGGCAGGTACACATGGATCAGTGGGGAAGAGATCAATGGGGCAGGGAGCCATAGATCAGTGGGGCAGAGATCAGTGGGGCAGGGAGCCATAGATCAGTGGGGCAGGGACCCAGAGATCAGTGGGGCAGAGATCAGTGGGGCGGGGACCCATAGATCAATGGGGCAGAGGTCAGTGACACATACACCCAAGGACCCATAGACCCAAAGCCCAACACTTTGATTACCTCCCCCATTGATTACTCCACCCCCCACCCATGGGTGCCCCCCCCACCCCCCCACCCATGGGTGCCCCCCCCCCCCCAACCCATGGGTGCCCCCCCATTCCACCCATAGGTGCTCCCCCCCCCATAGGTGCTCCCCACCCCACCCATTGCTTACCCCCCCCACCCATGGGTGCCCCCCCCATTCCCCCCCATGGGTGCCCCCCCCCATAGTGCCCCCCCCACCCATGGGTGCCCCCCCCACCCCCCCCACCCATGGGTGCTCCCCCCCCCCCCCCCATAGGTGCTCCCCACCCATGGGTGTCCCCCCATCCACCCATGGGTGCCCCCCCCCCAACCCATGGGTGCCCCCCCACCCCACCCATAGGTGTCCCCCCCCATAGGTGCTCCCCACCCCACCCATTGCTTACCCCCCCACACCTATGGGTGCTCCCCACCCACCCATGGGTGCCCCCCTACCCCACCCATGGGTGCCCCCCTACCCCACCCATAGGTGCTCCCACCCCACCCATTGCTTACCCCCCCCACCCATGGGTGCCCCCCCCCCCACCCCCATGGGTGCCCCCCCCCCCCCCACCCATGGGTGCTCCCCACCCACCCATAGGTGCTCCCCCACCCATGGGTGCCCCCCCCCCCCCCAACCCATAGGTGTCCCTCCCCCATGGGTGCTCCCACCCCACCCATTGCTTATCCCCCCACACCTATGGGTGCTCCCACCCACCCATGGGTGCCCCCTACCCCACCCATGGGTGCCCCCCCCACCCCACCCATAGGTGCTCCCACCCCACCCATTGCTTACCCCCCCACACCCATGGGTGCCCCCCGCACCCCCCCCCACCCATGGGTGCTCCCCACCCACCCATAGGTGTCCCCCCCCATAGGTGCTCCCCACCCCACCCATTGCTTACCCCCCCACACCTATGGGTGCTCCCACCCACCCATGGGTGCCCCCCCCCACCCACCCATAGGTGCTCCCCCACCCATGGGTGCCCCCCCCCCCCAACCCATAGGTGTCCCCCCCCATGGGTGCTCCCACCCCACCCATTGCTTATCCCCCCACACCTATGGGTGCTCCCACCCACCCATGGGTGCCCCCCTACCCCACCCATGGGTGCCCCCCCACCCCACCCATAGGTTCTCCCCACCCCACCCATTGCTTACCCCCCCCCACCCATGGGTGCCCCCCCCAGCCCCCCACCCATGGGTGCCCCCCCTCCCCCATGGGTGCCCCCCTACCCCACCCATGGGTGCCCCCCCCACCCCCCCCACCCATAGGTGCTCCGCCCCCCATAGGTGCTCCCCACCCCACCCATTGCTTACCCACCCCACCCATGGGTGCCCCCCCCCCCCCCCCCATGGGTGCCCCCCCCCCCCACCCATGGGTGCCCCCCCCACCCCCCCCACCCATGGGTGCCCCCCCACCTATCTGGAAGTAGGAGTAAGCAGCCAGGGGCTCGTTGACCAATCGGTCGCGCCGGGGGTTGCGGGGCCTCAGGTGCATGATGTCGCTCTCGGCCCTCTCATAGGCCAAGGACACGGAGGGGAACTGTGGGGCAGGAAGGGGGCGCTCGGGGACCCACACATCCGTGGGGCAGCCCCATGGATCCTATGGGGTACCCAGTTCCTATGGGGTAGCCCAATGGAGAAGCTCAATGGATGGATGGAGTCAATGGGGGTGACCCATATATCTATAGGGCAGCCCCATGGATCCTATGGGGTACCCAGTTCCTATGGGGTAGCCCAATGGAGAAGCTCAATGGATGGATGGAGTCAATGGGGGTGACCCATATGTCTATAGGGCAGCCCCATGGTTTCCTATGGGGTAGCCCAATGGAGAAGCTCAATGGATGGATGGAGTCAATGGGGGTGACCCATATATCTATAGGGCAGCCCCATGGATCCTATGGGGTACCCCAATGGAGAAGCTCAATGGATGGATGGAGTCAATGGGGGTGACCCATATATCTATAGGGCAGCCCCATGGATCCTATGGGGTACCCAGTTCCTATGGGGGTAGCCCAATGGAGAAGCTCAATGGATGGATGGAGTCAATGGGGGTGACCCATATGTCTATAGGGCAGCCCCATGGATCCTATGGGGTAGCCCAATGGAGAAGCTCAATGGATGGATGGAGTCAATGGGGGTGACCCATATATCTATAGGGCAGCCCCATGGATCCTATGGGGTAGCCCAATGGAGAAGCTCAATGGATGGATGGAGTCAATGGGGGTGACCCATATGTCTATAGGGCAGCCCCATGGTTCCTATGGGGTAGCCCAATGGAGAAGCTCAATGGATGGATGGAGTCAATGGGGTGACCCATATATCTATAGGGCAGCCCCATGGATCCTATGGGGTAGCCCAATGGAGAAGCTCAATGGATGGATGGAGTCAATGGGGGTGACCCATATATCTATAGGGCAGCCCCATGGTTCCTATGGGGTAGCCCAATGGAGAAGCTCAATGGATGGATGGAGTTAATGGGGGTGACCCATATATCTATAGGGCAGCCCCATGGATCCTATGGGGTACCCAGTTCCTATGGGGTAGCCCAATGGAGAAGCTCAATGGATGGATGGAGTCAATGGGGGTGACCCATATGTCTATAGGGCAGCCCCATGGATCCTATGGGGTAGCCCAATGGAGAAGCTCAATGGATGGATGGAGTCAATGGGGGTGACCCATATGTCTATAGGGCAGCCCCATGGATCCTATGGGGTACCCAGTTCGTATGGGGTACCCCAATGGAGAAGCTCAATGGATGGATGGAGTCAATGGGGGTGACCCATATATCTATAGGGCAGCCCCATGGATCCTATGGGGTACCCAGTTCCTATGGGGTACCCCAATGGAGAAGCTCAATGGATGGATGGAGTCAATGGGGGTGACCCATATATCTATAGGGCAGCCCCATGGATCCTATATGGGGTACCCCAATGGAGAAGCACAATGGATGGATGGATGTCAATGGGGGTGACCCATATATCTATAGGGCAGCCCCATGGATCCTATGGGGTACCCAGTTCCTATGGGGTAGCCCAATGGAGAAGCTCAATGGATGGATGGAGTCAATGGGGGTGACCCATATGTCTATAGGGCAGCCCCATGGATCCTATGGGGTAGCCCAATGGAGAAGCTCAATGGATGGATGGAGTCAATGGGGGTGACCCATATATCTATAGGGCAGCCCCATGGTTCCTATGGGGTAGCCCAATGGAGAAGCTCAATGGATGGATGGAGTCAATGGGGGTGACCCATATATCTATAGGGCAGCCCCATGGTTCCTATGGGGTAGCCCAATGGAGAAGCTCAATGGATGGATGGAGTCAATGGGGGTGACCCATATGTCTATAGGGCAGCCCATGGATCCTATGGGGTACCCAGTTCCTATGGGGTAGCCCAATGGAGAAGCTCAATGGATGGATGGAGTCAATGGGGGTGACCCATATATCTATAGGGCAGCCCCATGGTTCCTATGGGGTAGCCCAATGGAGAAGCTCAATGGATGGATGGATGTCAATGGGGGTGACCCATATATCTATAGGGCAGCCCCATGGTTCCTATGGGGTAGCCCAATGGAGAAGCTCAATGGATGGATGGAGTCAATGGGGGTGACCCATATGTCTATAGGGCAGCCCCATGGATCCTATGGGGTAGCCCAATGGAGAAGCTCAATGGATGGAGTCAATGGGGGTGACCCATATATCTATAGGGCAGCCCCATGGATCCTATGGGGTACCCCAATGGAGAAGCTCAATGGATGGATGGAGTCAATGGGGGTGACCCATATGTCTATAGGGCAGCCCCATGGTTCCTATGGGGTACCCCAATGGAGAAGCTCAATGGATGGATGGAGTCAATGGGGGTGACCCATATATCTATAGGGCAGCCCCATGGATCCTATGGGGTACCCAGTTCCTATGGGGTAGCCCAATGGAGAAGCTCAATGGATGGATGGAGTCAATGGGGGTGACCCATATATCTATAGGGCAGCCCCATGGATCCTATGGGGTACCCCAATGGAGAAGCTCAATGGATGGATGGAGTCAATGGGGGTGACCCATATGTCTATAGGGCAGCCCCATGGATCCTATGGGGTGCCCCAATGGAGAAGCTCAATGGATGGATGGAGTCAATGGGGGTGACCCATATGTCTATAGGGCAGCCCCATGGATCCTATGGGGTACCCCAATGGAGAAGCTCAATGGATGGATGTAGTCAATGGGGGGTGACCCATATATCTATAGGGCAGCCCCATGGATCCTATGGGGTACCCCAATGGAGAAGCTCAATGGATGGGTAGAGTCATTGGGGGTGACCCATATGTCTATAGGGCAGCCCCATGGATCCTATGGGGTACCCCAATGGAGAAGCTCAATGGATGGATGGAGTCAATGGGGGTGACCCATATATCTATAGGGCAGCCCCATGGATCCTATGTGGTACCCCAATGGAGAAGCACAATGGATGGACCCTTTTCAATGGGGTGTGGATGGTCGTGACCCACACATCCATAGGGGAACCCCAATGCCTCCATCATCTCCTATGGGGCACCCCAATGGAGACCCTCAATGGATGGACCCCTATCAATGGGGCCTCGATGGTGGTGACCCACATATGGGACCCCCACTGCCTCCATCATCTCCTATGGGGCACCCCAATGGAGACCCTCAATGGATCGACCCTTTTCAATGGGGCCTCGATGGTGGTGACCCACATACGGGACCCCCAATGCCTCCATCATCTCCTATGGGGCACCCCAATGGAGACCCTCAATGGATGGACCCCTATCAATGGGGCCTCGATGGTGGTGACCCACACATCCATAGGGGAACCCCACTGCCTCCATCATCTCCTATGGGGCACCCCAATGGAGACCCTCAATGGATCGACCCTTTTCAATGGGGCCTCGATGGTGGTGACCCACACATCCATAGGGGAACCCCACTGCCTCCATCATCTCCTATGGGGCACCCCAATGGAGACCCTCAATGGATCGACCCTTTTCAATGGGGCCTCGATGGTGACGACCCCCATCTGCGAACCCCCACTGCCTCCATCATCTCCTATGGGGAGATGTCCCTATAGGGGAATCGGGGTGAGGAACACCCCCCCCAACCCCACCCCCCAACAATGGGGCTCACGATGTCGGTGCAGAGCTCGATGAAGAGGATGGTGATGCAGCCGAGGGGCAGGGGGATGCTGGCCGTGATGTAGATGAGGTAAGGGGTCAGCTCGGGGATGTTCTTGGTCAAGGTGTAGGCAATGGACTTCTTGAGGTTGTCGAAGATCAGGCGGCCTTTGGGGGTTGGGGGGGGGGGGGGTGTCAGGGCCTGGCCATGGGGCCAAGGACCCAAAGACCCAATGGGCAAGGAGCCAAAGACCCAATGGCCAAGGAGCCAAAGACCCAAGGACCCAAAGACCCAATGGCCAAGGAGCCAAAGACCCAAGGACCCAAAGACCCAATGGCCAAGGAGCCAAAGACCCAATGGGCAAGGACCCAAAGACCCAATGGCCAAGGACCCAAAGACCCAATGGCCAAGAACCCAAAGACCCAACAAGAACCAAGACCCAAGGACCCAATGGCCAAGGACCCAAGGACCCAATGGCCAAGGAGCCAAAGACCCAATGGCCAAGGAGCCAAAGACCCAATGGGCAAGGAGCCAAAGACCCAATGGGCAAGGAGCCAAAGACCCAATGGCCAAGGACCCAAAGACCCAATGGGCAAGGACCCAAAGACCCAATGGGCAAGGACCCAAGGACCCAATGGCCAAGGACCCAAAGACCCAATGGTCAAGGACCCAAGGACCCAATGGTCAAGGACCCAAAGACCCAATGGTCAAGGACCCAAAGACCCAATGGTCAAGGACCCAATGACCAAGGAGCCAAAGACCCAATGGCCAAGGAGCCAAAGACCCAAAGACCCAATGGTCAAGGACCCAAAGACCCAATGGCCAAGGAGCCAAAGACCCAAAGAACCAATGGACAAGGAGCCAAAGAGCCAAGGACCCAATGGTCAAGGACCCAAAGACCCAATGGCCAAAGACCCAATGGACAAGGACTCAATGACCAAGGACCCAATGGTCAAGGACCCAAAGACCCAATGGCCAAAGACCCAATGGACAAGGACTCAATGACCAAGGACCCAATGACCCAATGGGGGTGCCCGAACCCTCATAGACCTCAACGCTGGGTCCCCAAACCCCCATAGACCTCAATGTTGGGTCCCCAAACCCCCATAGACCTCAACGTTGGGTCCCCAAACCCCCATAGACCTCAACGTTGGGTCCCCAAACCCCCATCGACCTCAACGTTGGGTCCCCAAACCCCCATCGACCTCAACGTTGGGTCCCCAAACCCCCATAGACCTCAACGTTGGGTCCCCAAACCCCCATAGACCTCAACGTTGGGTACCCAAACCCCCATAGACCTCAACGTTGGGTCCCCAAACCCTCATAGACCTCAACGTTGGGTACCCAAAGACCCATCGACCTCAACGTTGGGTACCCAAAGACCCATTGACCTCAACGTTGGGTACCCAAAGACCCATTGACCTCAACGTTGGGTCCCCAAAGACCCATCGACCTCAACGTTGGGTACCCAAACCCCCATAGACCTCAACGTTGGGTCCCCAAACCCCCATAGACCTCAACGTTGGGTCCCCAAACCCTCATAGACCTCAACGTTGGGTACCCAAAGACCCATCGACCTCAACGCTGGGTCCCCAAACCCCCATAGACCTCAACGTTGGGTACCCAACCCCCCATAGACCTCAACGTTGGGTCCCCAAACCCCCATAGACCTCAATGTTGGGTACCCAAAGACCCATAGACCTCAACGTTGGGCACCCAAACCCCCATAGACCTCAACGTTGGGTCCCCAAACCCTCATAGACCTCAACGTTGGGTACCCAAACCCCCATCGACCTCAACGTTGGGTACCCAAAGACCCATAGACCTCAACGTTGGGCACCCAAACCCCCATCGACCTCAATGTCGGGTCCGTCCCCCCCACCCCCGCCCCATTGCGCCCCACGGCCCCCTCGCACCCTGCTCGACGCCGGTGACGATGGAGGCGAAGTTGTCGTCCAATAGGATCATGTCGGCGGCGTTCTTGGCGGCGTCGGAGCCGGCGATGCCCATGGCCACGCCGATGTCGGCCTTCTTCAACGCCGGCGAATCGTTGACGCCGTCGCCCGTCACCGCCACGATGGCGCCCTAGGGGATGGGGATGTGGGGTGGGGGCGTTGGGGATGGGGGGGTGGGGATGGGGGGGTTGGGTGGGCATGTGGGGTGCAGGAGGAGCCAAGGAGGCTAAGAGGGAAGACCCAGAGAGCCCCATACCCCACCCCTCATACCCCATACGCCACACTCCATATCCCATACCCCATATCCTATATCCCATATCCCATGCCCCATATCCCATATCCCATATCCCACACCCCATACCTGACGCCCCATATCCCATACCCCACATCCCATACCCCATATCCCACACCCATATACCATACCCCATATCCCATATCCCATATCCCATACTCCATGACTACCTGACGCCCCATATCCCACACCCCGCATCCCATACCCCATATCCCACACCCCATATACCATACCCCATATCCCATACTCCATACCCCATACCCCACATCCCATACCCCATATCCCACACCCCATATACCATACCCCATATCCCATACTCCATACCCCATACTCCATACCCCATACCCCACATCCCATACCCCATATCCCACACCCCACATCCCATACCCCATACCCCACACCCCACACCCCACACCCCATATCCCACACCCCATATCCCATATCCCATATCCTATACCCCACACCCCATATCCCATACCCCACACCCCACACCCCGTACCCCACACCCCACACCCCATACCCCATACCCCACACAACATACCCCACATCCCACACCCCATACACCATACACCATACCCCATATCCCATATCCCATACCCCACACCCCATACCCCACACCCCATATCCCACACCCCATATCCCACACCCCATATCCCATACCCCATACCCACACCCCACACCCCACACCCCCCATCCCATGTCCCACCAGCCGCTGGCAGCTCTCCACTATCACCAGCTTCTGCTGTGGGGACGTGCGGGCAAAAACCATCTCGGGGTGGGTCCGGAGGAGACCCTCGAGGGCTTCCGGTGTCATGGCCGCCAGCTCGGCCCCCGTCACCACCCGAGCCCGGGCTTGCCTGGGGGTCACACAGGGGACTTGTGGGTCCTCGGAGCCCCATCTGTGGGGCTGGAGCACGCCCAGGTGGGGTGGTGGCTACCAGGGGCCTTCAATGGCTACCATAGACCAGCAATGGCCACCGTAGACCATCAATGGCCGCCGTAGACCATCAATGGCTACCATGGTCTAGACCCCTGTCCTTGGTGCTGAAGCACCCCAAGACATGGTGGTGGCCACCATGGGCCATCAATGGCTACCATAGACCATTAATGGCCACCATGGGCCACCAATGGCCGCCATGGTCTAGACCCCTGTCCTTGGTGCTGAAGCGCCCCAAGACATGGTGGTGGCCACCATGGGCCATCAATGGCCACCATAGACCATTAATGGCCACCATGGGCCACCAATGGCCACCATTGACCATCAATGGCCGCCATGGTCTAGACCCCTGTCCTTGGTGCTGAAGCGCCCCAAAACATGGTGGTGGCCACCATGGGCCATCAACGGCTACCATAGACCATTAATGGCCACCATGGGCCACCAATGGCCACCATTGACCATTAATGGCCACCATAGATCATCAATGGCCACCATAGTCCCTCAAGGGCCACCGTAGGCCATCAATGGCCACCATAGGCCATTGATATCAACCACGCTCCACCAATGGCCACCATGGGCCACCAGTGTCTACCATAGAACACCAATGGCAACCATGGTCCATCAATGGCCACCTTAGGCCATCGATATCAACCATGGTCCACCAATGGCCACCATAATCCCTCAATGGCCACCATTGGCCACCAATGGCCTCCATTGGCCACCAATGTCTCCTGTAGGCCACCAATGTCCTCCATTGGCCACCAATGTCTAACATAGGCCACCAATGTCTAACATAGACCACCAATGGCAACCATGGTCCATCAATGACTACCATAGATCATCAATGGCCACCATAGTATATCAATGGCCACCATAGGCCATCAATGACCTCCATTGGCCACCAATGACCTCCATTGGCCACCAATGATCTCCATTGGCCACCAATGTGCTCCATTGGCCCCCAATGACCTCCATAGGCCACCAATGACCTCCATTGGCCCCCAATGACCTCCATTGGCCACCAATGTCTCCATTGGCCCCCAAAGACCTCCATTGGCCCCCAAAGACCTCCATTGGCCACCCATGACCTCCATTGGCCACCAATGACCTCCATTGGCCACCAATGACCTCCATTGGCCACCAATGACCTCCATTGGCCACGAATGACCTCCATTGGCCCCCAATGACCTCCATTGGACCCCAATGACCTCCATTGGCCACCAATGACCTCCATTGGCCCCCAATGACCTCCATTGGCCACCAATGACCTCCATTGGCCCCTAATGACCTCCATTGGCCCCCAATGACCTCCATTGGCCCCCAAAGACCTCCATTGGCCACCAATGACCTCCATTGGCCACCAATGGCCACGCTGCTCCCACCTGGGGTCCACACGCTCCAAGGGCACCCTCAGCCTCGCCGCCACCTCCTCGGGGGTCTCGCTGCCCTCGGAGATGATGCCCACAGCGGCCGCGATGGCCTTGGCCGTGATGGGGTGGTCCCCGGTCACCATGATCACCTATGGGGGGGGGCAAGGGGTGGGAGGAGGCAGTGTGGGCAGCAATGACCCCATATCCCATACCCCACATCCCATATGCCATATCCCATACCCCACATCCCATATGCCATATCCCATACCCCACATCCCATATGCCATATCCCATACCCCACATCCCATATGCCATATCCCATACCCCACATCCCATACCCCATATCCTATATCCCAAACCCCATATCCCATATCTCATATCCCATATCAGATACATCATACCCTATATCCCATACCCCATACCCCATATTCCATACTCCAAACCCCATTCCCCATACCCCATACCCCATATTCTGTACAACATATCCCATACCCCATATCCTATACCCCGTACCCCATATCTCATATCCTATATCCCATACCCCATATCCCATACCCCATACCATATATCTCATATCCTATACCCCATATCCCATACCCCATACCCCATATCCAATATCTCATATCCTATATCCCATACCCCATATCCCATACCCCATATCCAATATCTCATATCCTATATCCCATACCCCATATCCTCTATCCCATATCTCATATCCTATATCCCATACTCCATATCCCATATCAGATACCCCATACCCCATATCCCATACAACATATCCCATACCCCATATCCCATAGCACATATCCCATACCCCACATTATCCCACATTATCCGAACCATAACCGTAACCCTAACCCACATTATCCCCCATTATCCCCCTTTATCCTCCATTATCCCCCACCGTGATCCCCCATTATCCCCCACTATCCATTATCCTAACCATAACCTTAACTGTAACCCTAACCCACATTATCCCATGTTATCCCCCATTATCCCCCGTTATCCCCCATTATAACCCATTATACCCCATTATAACCCCATTGTAACTAACTCTAACCATAACCATAACCATAACCGTAACCATAACCGTAACCGTAACCCTAACCCACGTTATCCCACATTATACCCCATTTTAACCCCATTATAACATCATTATACCCCATTATCCCCCCATTATCCTCCATTATCCCCATTATCCCCCATTATCCCCCATTATAACCCCATTGTAACCCATTATAACCCCATTATCCCCCATTATCCCTCATTATAACCCCATTATCCCCCATTATCCCCCATTATAACCCATTATAACCCCATTATCCCCCATTATAACCCCATCATCCCCCATTATACCCCCATTATCCCCCATTATCCCCCATTATAACCCCATTATAACCCATTATCCCCCATTATAACCCCATTATCCCCCATTATCCCCCATTATAACCCATTTAGAACCCCATTATCCCCCATTATAACCCCATTATCCCCCATTATAACCCCATTATCCCCCCATTATCCCCATTACCCCCCATTATAACCCCATTATCCCCCATTATAACCCCATTAAACCCCCATTACCCCCCATTATCCTTACCCCCATTAACCCCCCCATTATCCCCCATTACCCCCCATTACCCCATACCCTGATCCCCGCCGTCCGGCACTTGAGCACGGCCTGGGGCACGGTGGCCCGGGGGGGGTCGATCATGGCCACGAGGCCGCTGAAGCAGAGCCCGGAGGCCAAGGCCGGGAGCTCCTCGGGGTCCCCATCCGGAGGCACAGAGCCGGCGGGGAGCCAGCGGGAACAGAACCCTAGGGGTGGGGGGTGGGATATGGGGTATGGGGTGTGGGGGGTGGGGTATGGGATATGGGGTATGGGATATGGGATGTGGGGTGTGGGATATGGGGTATGGGGTATGGGATATGGGATATGGGATATGGGGTATGGGATGTGGGGTATGGGATATGGGGTATGGGGTATGGGATATGGGATATGGGGTATGGGGTATGGGATATGGGATATGGGATATGGGGTATGGGGTATGGGATATGGGGTATGTGATATAGGATATGGGACATGGGGTATGGGATATGGGATATGGGATATGGGATATGGGGTGTGGGGTATGGGATATGGGATATGGGGTGTGGGATATGGGATATGGGGTGTGGGATATGGGATATGGGGTGTGGGATATGGGGTATGGGATATGGGGTGTGGGATATGGGATATGGGATATGGGGTGTGGGATATGGGATATGGGGTATGGGATATGGGATATGGGATATGGGATATGGGGTATGGGGTATGGGGTGTGGGGTGTGGGGTGTGGGGTATGGGATATGGGATATGGGGTATGGGGTATGGGGTATGGGGTGTGGGGTATGGGATATGGGGTATGGGGTATGGGGTATGGGATATGGGGTGTGGGATATGGGGTATGGGGTATGGGGTGTGGGGTATGGGATATGGGGTATGGGATATGGGATATGGGATATGGGATATGGGGTATGGGGTATGGGGTGTGGGGTGTGGGGTATGGGATATGGGATATGGGGTATGGGGTATGGGTATGGGGTGTGGGGTATGGGATATGGGGTATGGGGTATGGGGTATGGGATAGGGTGTGGGATATGGGATATGGGGTATGGGGTATGGGTGTGGGTATGGGATATGGGGTTGGGGTATGGGATATGGGATATGGGGTATGGGGTATGGGATATGGGGTATGGGGTATGGGGTATGGGGTATGGGGTATGGGGGATATGGGGTATGGGGGAATGGGGTATGGGGTATGGGATATGGGGTATGGGGTATGGGATATGGGATATGGGTGTGGGATATGGGATATGGTGGGATATGGGGTAGTGGGGACATTTCACGTGGGATATGGGGTATGGGATATGGGTATGGGATGGGATATGGGGTATGCAGGATATGGGGTGTGGGATATGGGAGTGGGATATGGGTGGGTTATGGGATGGTATGGGATGTGGGATATGGGTATGGGGTATGGGCATGGGGTAATGGGATATGGGTATGGGTATGGGGTATGGGGTATGGGGTTGTGGGGTATGGGGGATGGGGTATGGGGTATGGGATATGGGATATGGGATATGGGTTGGGATTGGGACTATGGATGGCTATGGGGTATGGATATGGGATATGGGGATATGGGGTGTGGGATATGGGATATGGATCTGGGATCATGGGATATTTGGTATGGTATAGGATATGGGCTATGGGATATTATGGGATGTGCCCCCACTCACCCAGGACCCTCTCTCCGCGCCCCCCCAGCTCCGCGTAGGCCCCCTCGAAGGCCTCCCTCCATTGGGGGACCCAGGGGCAGCTCCTGGCCCTTGAGCAGGACGTGGCTGCAGCGCTCCAGGACCCGCTCGGGGGCACCCTTCAACACCAGCACCTGCCGCTCCCCGGCCTCGTGACGACACCTATGGGTGCCAATGGGGTGCTATGGGGGCCTATGGGGGCTATGGGGGGCTATGGGTGCTATGGGGGGCTATGGGGGGCTATGGGGGGCTATGAGGGGCTATGGGTGCTATGGGGGGCTATGGGGGCTATGGGTGCTATGGGGGGCTATGGGGGCCTATGGGGTGGGCTATGGGGGGCTATGGGGGCCTATGGGTGCTATGGGGGGCTATGGGGGGCTATGGGTGCTATGGGGGGCTATGGGGGGCTATGGGGGGCTATGGGTGTCAATGGGGTGCTATGGGTGCTATGGGGGGCTATGGGGGGCTATGGGTGCTATGGGGGGCTATGGGGGGCTATGGGGGCCTATGGGGTGCTATGGGTGTCTATGCGGTGCTACGGGTGGCAATGGGGTGCTATGGATGCCAATGGGTGCTATGGGGGCCTATGGGGGCTATGGGTGCCAGTGGGGGCTATGGGTGCCAATGGGGTGCTATGGGTGCCTATGGGTGCTATGGGGGGCTATGGGGGGCTATGGGGGCCTATGGGGGCTATGGGGGGCTATGGGGGGCTATGGGGGGCTATGGGTGCTATGGGGTGCTATGGGGGCCTATGGGGAGCTATGGGGGGCTATGGGGGGCTATGGGTGTCAATGGGGTGCTATGGGTGTCTATGGGGGGCTATGGGGGGCTATGGGTGCTATGGGGGGCTATGGGGGCCTATGGGGGGCTATGGGTGCCAGTGGGGGCTATGGGTGTCAATGGGGGCTATGGGGGGGCTATGGGGGCCTATGGGGGGCTATGGGTGCCAGTGGGGGCTATGGGTGTCAATGGGGGCTATGGGGGGCTATGGGGGCCTATGGGGGGCTATGGGTGCCAGTGGGGGCTATGGGTGTCAATGGGTGCCAAGGGGGGCTATGGGGGCCTATGGGGGGCTATGGGTGCCAGTGGGGGCTATGGGTGTCAATGGGTGCCAAGGGGGGCTATGGGTGTCAATGGGGGCTATTGGGGCCTATGGGGTGCTATGGGTGCCAGTGGGGGCTATGTGTGTCAATGGGTGCTATGGGGGGCTATGGGGGCCTATGGGGGGCTATGGGTGACAATGGGGGCTATGGGTGCCGATGGGGGCTATGGGTGCCAATGGGGGGCAATGGGTGTCAATGGGTGCTATGGGGGGCTATGGGGGCTATGGGGGCCTATGGGGGCTATGGGTGCCAATGGGGCTATGGGTGCCTATGGGTGCTATGGGTGCCAATGGGGTGTATGGGTGCCAATGGGGCCTACGGGTGCCAATGGGGTCTATGGGTGCCAATGGGGCCTACGGGTGCTAATGGTATCTTTGGGTCCCTTCAGGGTCTATGGGTCCCATCAAGGCTTATGGGTTTAACCAAGGTCCTTTGGGTCCCACCAGGTCATTGGGGTCCCACCAGGGGCTATGGGGGCTCAGCATCGCCCCCATTGTCCCCATTGGTTGACCCCATTGTCCTCATTGATCCCATTGACCCCATTGATCCCATTGAGCCCATTGCCCCCATTGCCCCCATTGACCTCATTGATCCCATTGACCCCGTTGACTTCATTGATCCCATTGACCCCATTGACCCCATTGATCCCATTGACCCCATTGACCTCATTGACCCCATTGCCCCCATTGACCCCATTGATCCCATTGACCCCATTGACCTCATTGATCCCATTGCCCCCATTGACCTCATTGCCCCCATTGACCCCATTGATCCCATTGGCCCCATTGACCCCATTGATCCCATTGCCCCCATTGCCCCCATTGACCTCATTGATCCCATTGCCCCCATTGACCTCATTGATCCCATTGACCCCGTTGACTTCATTGATCCCATTGACCCCGTTGACCCCATTGATCCCATTGCCCCCATTGACCTCATTGATCCCATTGCCCCCATTGACCCCATTGATCCCATTGACCCCATTGACCCCATTGACCTCATTGATCCCATTGCCCCCATTGACCCCATTGACCCCATTGATCCCATTGACCCCATTGACCTCATTGATCCCATTGACCTCATTGACTTCATTGATCCCATTGACCTCATTGATCCCATTGACCCCATTGACCCCATTGATCCCATTGACCCCATTGACCTCATTGATCCCATTGCCCCCATTGACCTCATTGATCCCATTGACCCCATTGATCCCATTGACCCCATTGACCTCATTGATCCCATTGACCTCATTGACTTCATTGATCCCATTGACCCCATTGACCCCATTGACCCCATTGATCCCATTGACCCCATTGACCCCATTGATCCCATTGACCTCATTGATCCCATTGACCCCGTTGACTTCATTGACCCCATTGATCCCATTACCCCCATTCCCCCCATTCCCCCCATTGCCCCCATTGCCCCCCATTGCCCCATTGCATCACCTGGAACTTGTTGCTGGAGTTAAAGGGCAGCTCCACCACCTTTGGGAACCGGGCCCTCAACGCCGCCACCGGCCCCAACGTCACCTCCGCGAACTTCAGCAGCGCCGTCTCCGACGCGTCACCGATGACGTCACGCTAAAAGGGGGAGGGGCCGCCGTAAGGGGGCGGGGACACGGACCCATAGGGCCGCTACTACGCACATAGCAGGTCCCTATATGAACTTCCCACACCCATATATGGTCCTTATAAGGCCCTCTCAGCCCCATATATGGTCCCTAAGGGCTCCTCTCAGCCCCACATATGGTCCCCAAAGGCTCCTCCCAGCCCCATATATGGTGCCTAAAGACCCCTATCAGCCCCATATATGGTCCCTAAAGACACCTCTCACCCCATATATGGTCCCTAAAGGCTCCTCCCAGCCCTATATATGGTCCCTAAAGGCTCCTCCCAGCCCCACATATGGTCCCCAAAGGCTCCTCCCAGCCCCATATATGGTGCCTAAAGACCCCTATCAGCCCCATATATGGTCCCTAAAGGCTCCTCCCAGCCCCATATATGGTCCCTAAAGGCTCCTCCCACCTCCATATATGGTCCCTAAAGGCTCCTCCCAGCCCCATATATGGTCCCTAAAGATGCCTCTCAGCCCCACATATGGTCCCTAAAGGCTCCTCCCAGCCCCATATATGGTGCCTAAAGACGCCTCTCAGCCCCATATATGGTCCTTCTAAGCCCCTCTCAGCCCCATATATGGTCCCTAAAGACGCCTCTCAGCCCCATATATGGTCCTTCTAAGCACCTCTCAGCCCCATATATGGTCCCTAAAGGCGCCTCCCAGCCCCATATATGGTGCCTAAAGACGCCTCTCAGCCCCATATATGGTCCCTAAAGATGCCTCTCAGCCCCATATATGGTCCCTAAAGACACCTCCCAGCCCCACATATGGTCCCTAAAGACGCCTCTCAGCCCCATATATGGTCCTTCTAAGCCCCTCTCAGCCCCATATATGGTCCCTAAAGGCGCCTCCCAGCCCCATATATGGTCCCTAAAGATGCCTCTCACCCATATATGGTCCCTAAGGGCTCCTCTCAGCCCCATATATGGTCCCTAAAGACGCCTCTCAGCCCATATATGGTCCCTAAAGGCTCCTCCCAGCCCCATATATGGTCCCTAAGGGCTCCTCTCAGCCCCATATATGGTCCCTAAAGACGCCTCCCAGCCCCATATATGGTCCCTAAAGGCTCCTCCCAGCCCCATATATGGTCCCTAAAGATGCCTCTCACCCATATATGGTCCCTAAGGGCTCCTCTCAGCCCCATATATGGTCCCTAAAGACGCCTCTCAGCCCCATATATGGTCCCTAAAGGCTCCTCCCAGCCCCATATATGGTCCCTAAAAGCTCCTCCGAGCCCCATATATGGTCCCTGAAGGCTCCCCCCACCTCCATATATGGTCCCTAAAGGCTCCTCCCAGCCCCATATATGGTCCCTAAAGGCTCCTCCCAGCCCCATATATGGTCCCTAAAGGCTCCTCCCAGCCCCATATATGGTCCCTAAAGATGCCTCTCAGCCCCATATATGGTCCCTAAAGACCCCTCCCAGCCCCATATATGGTCCCTAAAGATGCCTCTCAGCCCCATATATGGTCCCTAAAGGCTCCTCCCAGCCCCATATATGGTCCCTAAAAGCTCCTCCGAGCCCCATATATGGTCCCTAAAGGCTCCTCCCAGCCCCATATATGGTCCCTAAAGACCCCTCTCAGCCCCATATATGGTCCCTAAAGATGCCTCTCAGCCCACATATGGTCCCTAAAGGCTCCTCCCAGCCCCATATATGGTGCCTAAAGACGCCTCTCAGCCCCATATATGGTCCTTCTAAGCCCCTCTCAGCCCCATATATGGTGCCTAAAGACACCTCCCAGCCCCACATATGGTCCCTAAAGACGCCTCTCAGCCCCATATATGGTCCTTCTAAGCCCCTCTCAGCCCCATATATGGTCCCTAAAGACACCTCCCAGCCCCACATATGGTCCCTAAAGGCTCCTCCCAGCCCCATATATGGTCCCTAAAGGCTCCTCCCAGCCCCATATATGGTCCCTAAAGGCTCCTCCCAGCCCCATATATGGTCCCTAAAGGCTCCTCCCAGCCCCATATATGGTCCCTAAAGATGCCTCTCAGCCCCATATATGGTCCCTAAAGACCCCTCCCAGCCCCATATATGGTCCCTAAAGATGCCTCTCACCCATATATGGTCCCTAAAGACGCCTCTCAGCCCCATATATGGTCCCTAAAGGCTCCTCCCAGCCCCATATATGGTCCCTAAAAGCTCCTCCGAGCCCCATATATGGTCCCTAAAGGCTCCTCCCACCTCCATATATGGTCCCTAAAGGCTCCTCCCAACCCCATATATGGTCCCTAAAGTCCCCTCTCAGCCCCATAAGCCCCTCCAGCCCCATATAATGTCCTCATAGACACCTCCCAGCCCCATGAGCCCATCCCAGCCCCATAGAGGGTCCCTATAAACCCCTCCCACCCCCATATAAGGTCTCTATAGGCACCTCCCACCTCCATATAGGGTGCCTATAAGCCCCTTTGGGGCCCATTAGCTGCCTGTAGATCCACCTCAGCCCCATAAGCATCCTATATGCCCATCCCAGCCCTATACTGGGCTCTATAGGCCCTTTCCAGCCCCATAAGCTCCCTATAGGTTCACCTCAGCCTCATAGAGGGCCCCTCTCAGCCCCATAAGCTCCATACAAGCCCCTACCAGCCCCACATAGGATCCCTATATACCCTTCCAGCCCCATAAGCACCCTATACCTTCCTTTCAGCCCCACCTAGGGTCCATATAAGCCCCATATAGGGTGCCTAAAAGTCCCTCCGAGCCCCATAAGCTCCCCAAACCCCCATCTAACCCCTATAGAAAGCCCATATAACCCCCTGGCAGCCCCATATAACCCCCTTGCAGCCCCCTATAACCCCCTTGCAGCCCCATATAACCCCCTTGCAGCCCCATATAACCCCCTTGCAGCCCCATATAACCCCCTGGCAGCCCCATATAACCCCCTTGCAGCCCCATATAACCCCCTGGCAGCCCCATATAACCCCCTTGCAGCCCCATATAACCCCCTTGCAGCCCCATATAACCCCCTTGCAGCCCCATATAACCCCCTTTCAGCCCCATATAACCCCCTTGCAGGCCCTTATAACCCCCTTGCAGCCCCATATAACCCCCTTGCAGCCCCCTATAACCCCCTTGCAGCCCCATATAACCCCCTTGCAGCCCCATATAACCCCCTTGCAACCCCATATAACCCCCTTGCAGCCCCATATAACCCCCTTGCAGCCCCATATAACCCCCTTGCAACCCCATATAACCCCCTTGCAGCCCCATATAACCCCCTTGCAGCCCCATATAACCCCCTTGCAACCCCCATATAACCCCCTTGCAGCCCCATATAACCCCCTTGCAGCCCCATATAACCCCCTTGCAACCCCATATAACCCCCTGGCAGCCCCATATAACCCCCTTGCAGCCCCATATAACCCCCTTGCAGCCCCATATAACCCCCTTGCAGCCCCATATAACCCCCTGGCAGCCCCATATAACCCCCTTGCAACCCCATATAACCCCCTTGCAACCCCATATAACCCCCTTGCAGCCCCATATAAGCCCCCTTGCAGCCCCATATAACCCCCTTGCAACCCCATATAACCCCCTTGCAACCCCATATAACCCCCTTGCAGCTCCCCCTTGCAGCCCCATATAAGCCCCCTTGCAGCCCCATATAACCCCCTTGCAACCCCATATAACCCCCTTGCAACCCCATATAACCCCCTTGCAGCCCCATATAACCCCCTTGCAACCCATATAACCCCCTTGCAGCCCCATATAACCCCCTTGCAACCCCATATAACCCCCTTGCAACCCCATATAACCCCCTTGCAGCCCCATATAACCCCCTTGCAGCCCCATATACCCCCTTGCAACCCCATATAACCCCCTTGCAGCCCCATATAACCCCCTTGCAGCCCCATATAACCCCCTTGCAGCCCCACATAACCCCCTTGCAGCCCATATAGCCCCCTTGCAGCCCATATACCCCCTGCAGCCCCATATAACCCCCTTGCAGCCCCATATAACCCCCTTGCAACCCCATATAACCCCCTTGCAGCCCCATATACCCCCTTGCAGCCCCATATAACCCCCTTGCAACCCCATATAACCCCCTTGCAGCCCCATATAACCCCCTTGCAACCCATATAACCCCCTTGCAGCCCCATATAACCCCCTTGCAGCCCCATATAACCCCCTTGCAGCCCCATATAACCCCCTGGCAGCCCCATATAACCCCCTTGCAACCCCATATAACCCCCTTGCAGCCCCATATAGCCCCCTTGCAACCCCATATAACCCCCTGGCAGCCCCATATAACCCCCTTGCAGCCCCATATAACCCCCTTGCAGCCCCATATAACCCCCTTGCAACCCCATATAACCCCCTTGCAGCCCCATATAACCCCCTTTCAGCCCCATATAACCCCCTGCAGCCCCATATAACCCCCTTGCAGCCCCATATAACCCCCTTGCAGCCCCATATACCCCATGCAACCCCATATAACCCCCTTGCAGCCCCATATAACCCCTTGCAGCCCCATATAACCCCCTGGCAGCCCCATATAACCCCCTTGCAGCCCCATATAACCCCCTTGCAGCCCCATATAACCCCCTTGCAACCCCATATAACCCCCTGGCAGACCCATATAACCCCTTGCAGCCCCATATAACCCCCTTGCAACCCCATATAACCCCCTGGCAGCCCCACATAACCCCCTTGCAGCCCCATATAACCCCCTTGCAGCCCCATATAACCCCCTTGCAGCCCCATATAACCCCCTGGCAGCCCCATATAACCCCCTTGCAACCCCATATAACCCCCTTGCAACCCCATATAACCCCCTTGCAGCCCCATATAACCCCCTTGCAGCCCCATATAACCCCCTTGCAACCCCATATAACCCCCTTGCAGCCCCATATAACCCCTTGCAGCCCCATATAACCCCCTTGCAGCCCCACATAACCCCTTGCAACCCCATATAACCCCCTTGCACCCCATATAACCCCCTTGCAGCCCCATATAACCCCCTTGCAACCCCATATAACCCCCTTGCAGCCCCATATAACCCCCTTGCATCCCTATATAACCCCCTTGCATCCCAATATAACCCCTGGCAACCCCATATAACCCCCTTGCAACCCCATATAACCCCCTTGCAACCCCATATAACCCCCCTTGCATCCCAATATAACCCCTGGCAACCCCATATAACCCCCTTGCAGCCCATAATAACCCCCTTGCATCCCTATATAACCCCCTTGCATCCCAATATAACCCCCTGGCAACCCCATATAACCCCCTTGCAGCCCCATATAACCCCCTTGCAACCCCATATAACCCCCTTGCAGCCCCATATACCCCATGCAACCCCATATAACCCCCTTGCAGCCCCATATAACCCCCTTGCAACCCCATATAACCCCCTTGCAGCCCCATATAACACCCTTGCAACCCCATATAACCCCCTTGCAGCCCCATATAACCCCCTTGCAGCCCCATATAACCCCCTGGCAGCCCCATATAACCCCCTTGCAGCCCCATATAACCCCCTTGCAGCCCTTATATAACCCCCTTGCAGCCCCATATACCCCCATGCAACCCCATATAACCCCCTTGCAGCCCCATATAACCCCCTTGCAACCCCATATAACCCCCTTGCAACCCCATATAACACCCTTGCAACCCCATATAACCCCTGGCAGCCCATATAACCCCCTTGCAACCCCATATAACCCCCTGGCAGCCCCATATAACCCCCTTGCAGCCCCATATAACCCCCTGGCAGCCCCATATAACCCCCTTGCAGCCCCACATAACCCCCTTGCAACCCCATATAACCCCCTGGCAGCCCCATATAACCCCCTTGCAGCCCCATATAACCCCCTTGCAGCCCTATATAACCCCCTTGCAGCCCCATATACCCCCATGCAACCCCATATAACCCCCTTGCAGCCCCATATAACCCCCTTGCAACCCCATATAACCCCCTTGCAACCCCATATAACACCCTTGCAACCCCATATAACCCCCTTGCAGCCCCATATAACCCCCTGGCAGCCCCATATAACCCCCTTGCAGCCCCATATAACCCCCTTGCAGCCCCATATAAGCCCCTTGCAGCCCCATATAACCCCCTTGCAGCCCCATATAAGCCCCCTATAGGTCTCACCTTGGCTATAGGGACGTTGTCCTGGCCTGGCTTGAACTGGGCCCTATTGCAGAGGGCGATGATGCGGCTCAGCATGGTCCAGGTCTCTGAGGACTGGTCGAAAGCTCTGCCCTGGGGTGGTGGGGCAGGAGGGATGAGGGCACCATAGGGGTGTATAGGGGCCATATATGGGGCTGGGAGAGGTGGTTATGGACCTTATCGCCCATAACGACCTATAGGGATGGAAGGGACCCATAATGACCCATAGGGATGGAAGGGACCCATCATGACCTATAGGGATGGAAGGGACCCATAATGACCTATAGGGATGGAAGGGACCCATAATGACCTATAGGGATGGAAGGGACCCATAATGACCCATAGGGATGGAAGGGACCCATCATGACCTATAGGGATGGAAGGGACCCATAATGACCTATAGGGATGGAAGGGACCCATAATGACCTATAGGGATGGAAGGGACCCATCATGACCTATAGGGATGGAAGGGACCCATCATGACCTATAGGGATGGAAGGGACCCATCATGACCTATAGGGATGGAAGGGACCCATAATGACCTATAGGGATGGAAGGGACCCATCATGACCTATAGGGATGGAAGGGACCCATCATGACCTATAGGGATGGAAGGGACCCATCATGACCCATAGGGATGGAAGGGACCCATCATGACCTATAGGGATGGTAGGGACCCATAATGACCTATAGGGATGGAAGGGACCCATAATGACTATAGGGATGGAAGGGACCCATCATGACCTATAGGGATGGAAGGGACCCATCATGACCTATAGGGATGGAAGGGACCCATCATGACCTATAGGGATGGAAGGGACCCATAATGACCTATAGGGATGGAAGGGACCCATCATGACCTATAGGGATGGAAGGGACCCATCATGACCTATAGGGATGGAAGGGACCCATCATGACCCATAGGGATGGAAGGGACCCATCATGACCTATAGGGATGGAAGGGACCCATCATGACCTATAGGGATGGAAGGGACCCATCATGACCTATAGGGATGGAAGGGACCCATCATGACCCATAGGGATGGAAGGGACCCATAATGACCTATAGGGATGGAAGGGACCCATAATGACCTATAGGGATGGAAGGGACCCATAATGACCTATAGGGATGGAAGGGACCCATAATGACCTATAGGGATGGAAGGGACCCATAATGACCCAGAGGGATGGAAGGGACCCATAATGACCTATAGGGATGGAAGGGACCCATAATGACCTATAGGGATGGAAGGGACCCATCATGACCTATAGGGATGGAAGGGACCCATCATGACCTATAGGGATGGAAGGGACCCATAATGACCTATAGGGATGGAAGGGACCCATAACGACCTATAGTAATGGAAGGGACCCATAATGACCTATAGGGATGGAAGGGACCCATCATGACCTATAGGGATGGAAGGGACCCATAATGACCTATAGGGATGGAAGGGACCCATAACGACCTATAGTAATGGAAGGGACCCATAATGACCTATAGGGATGGAAGGGACCCATCATGACCTATAGGGATGGAAGGGACCCATCATGACCTATAGGGATGGAAGGGACCCATCATGACCTATAGGGATGGAAGGGACCCATAATGACTCAGAGGGATGGAAGGGACCCATAATGACCTATAGGGATGGAAGGGACCCATAATGACCTATAGGGATGGAAGGGACCCATAATGACCTATAGGGATGGAAGGGACCCATAATGACCTATAGGGATGGAAGGGACCCATAATGACCCAGAGGGATGGAAGGGACCCATAATGACCTATAGGGATGGAAGGGACCCATAATGACCCATAGGGATGGAAGGCACCCATAACGACCCATAGTGATGGAAGTCACCCATAACGACCCACAGTGATGGAAGGCACCCATAACGACCCATAGTGATGGAAGGCACCCATAACGACCCCTAGTGATGGAAGGCACCCATAACGACCCATAGTGATGGAAGGCACCCATAACGACCCATAGTGATGGAAGGGACCCATAACGACCCATAGTGATGGAAGGGACCCATAATGACCCCTAGTGATGGAAGGCACCCATAACGACCCATAGTGATGGAAGGCACCCATAACGACCCACAGTGATGGAAGGCACCCATAACGACCCACAGTGATGGAAGGCACCCATAATGACCCATAGTGATGGAAGGCACCCATAACGACCCCTAGTGATGGAAGGCACCCATAACGACCCCTAGTGATGGAAGGCACCCATAACGACCCATAGTGATGGAAGGCACCCATAATGACCCCTAGTGATGGAAGGCACCCATAACGACCCATAGTGATGGAAGGCACCCATAACGACCCATAGTGATGGAAGGCACCCATAATGACCCATAGTGATGGAAGGCACCCATAACGACCCACAGTGATGGAAGGCACCCATAACGACCCATAGTGATGGAAGGCACCCATAACGACCCATAGTGATGGAAGGCACCCATAATGACCCATAGTGATGGAAGGCACCCATAACGACCCATAGTGATGGAAGGCACCCATAACGACCCATAGTGATGGAAGGCACCCATAACGACCCATAGTGATGGAAGGCACCCATAATGACCCATAGTGATGGAAGGCACCCATAACGACCCATAGTGATGGAAGGCACCCATAATGACCCATAGTGATGGAAGGCACCCATAACGACCCCTAGTGATGGAAGGCACCCATAACGACCCACAGTGATGGAAGGCACCCATAACGACCCATAGTGATGGAAGGCACCCATAACGACCCCCTAGTGATGGAAGGCACCCATAACGACCCCTAGTGATGATAAGGACCCCTCATGCCCCCCAACGCACCGGATTGGTCCTCGGTGGTGTCGGCGGTGTGGATGTGGTTGTCGAACCAGAGGTGGGCCACGGTCATGCGGTTCTGGGTGAGGGTCCCCGGTCTTGTCGGAGCAGATGGTGGACGTGGAGCCCAAGGTCTCCACCGCCTCCAGGTTCTTCACCACGCAGTTCTTGCGCGCCAGGCGCTTGGCCGTCAATGAGAGGCACACCTGGGGGTCAGGAGGGCCCATAGGGACCTTAAGGACTTCCATAGGACCCATGGGATGGGATGGGATCCATAGGGACATCAAGAGACCCGTATGAGCTCCATGGGTCCGTCAAGACCTTAAGGACTCCGATAGGACCCATGGGATGGGATGGGACCCATGGGGACATGAAGACCTTAAGGACTCCCATAGGACCCCATGGGATGGGATGGGATCCATGGGGACATCAAGAGACCCATATGAGCTCCATGGGTCCATCAAGACCTTAAGGACTCCCATAGGACCCATGGGATGGCATGGGATCCATGGGGACATCAAGAGACCCATATGAGCTCCATGGGTCCATCAAGACCTTAAGGACTCCCATAGGACCCATGGGATGGGATGGGACCTATGGGGACCTATGGACCCATCAAGAGACCATAAGGACTCCCATAGGACCCATGGGATGGGACCCATGGGTCCATGAAGACTTTGAACTTGATGGGACCAATGGACTTGATGGGACCCAAAGGACTTAATGGGACCCAAAGGACTTAATGGGACCCAAAGGACTTAATGGGACCCAATGGACTTGATGGGACCTAAAGCGACTTGATGGGACCTAAAGGGACTTGATGGGTCCCTATGGACTTGATGGGACCCAATGGACTTAATGGAACCCAATGGACTTGATGGGACCCAAAGGGACTTGATGGAACCCAATGGACTTGATGGGACCCAAAGGGACTTGATGGGACTCAATGGACTTGATGGGACCCAATGGACTTAATGGAACCCAATGGACTTGATGGGACCCAATGGACTTGATGGGACCCAAAGGGACTTGATGGGACCCAATGGACTTGATGGAACCCAATGGACTTGATGGGACCCAAAGGGCCTTGATGGGACTCAATGGACTTGATGGGACCCAATGGACTTGATGGGACCCAATGGACTTGATTGGACCAAAGGGACTTGATGGGACTCAATGGACTTGATGGAACCCAATGGACTTGATGGGACCCAATGGACTTGATGGGACCCAAAGGGACTTGATGGGACCCAAAGGGACTTGATGGGACCCAATGGACTTGGATGGGCCCCAAAGGGACTTGATGGAACCCAATGGACTTGATGGAACCCAAAGGGACTTGATGGGACCCAATGGACTTAATGGAACCCAATGGACTTGATGGGACCCAAAGGGCCTTGATGGGACCCAATGGACTTAATGGAACCCAATGGACTTGATGGGACCCAAAGGGACTTGATGGGACCCAATGGACTTAATGGAACCCAATGGACTTGATGGGACCCAAAGGACTCGATGGGACCCAATGGACTTGATGGGACCCAAAGGGACTTGATGGGACCCAAGGGACTTGATGGGAGGTCCACGTTACCGTGACGGTGGCCAGCAGCCCCTCGGGCACGTAGGCCACCACGATGGCCATGAAGAAGACCATGGCGCGCAGGAAGGGGTAGCCGATGACCATGGCCACCACGAAGAAGGTGGCCCCGAAGAAGATGGCGAGGCCGGCGATGATGTCCACAAAGTGCTCGATCTCGATGGCTATGGGGGTCTTCTCGTTCTCCACCCCCGAGGCCAGGCTGGCGATGCGGCCAATGATGGTCCGGTCCCCGGTGTTGATCACCAGACCCATGGCCGTGCCTTGTAGGAAGAGGGGAGGGGAGATGGGATGGGGTTGGTGGGGTCTAATGGGGGGTCTAATGGGGTTGGTGGGGTCTATTGGGGGGTCTAATGGGGTTGGTGGGGTCTAATGGGGTTGGTGGGGTCTAATGGGGGTGATGGGGGTCTAATGGGGGTGGTGGGGTCTAATGGGGGTGATGGGGGTCTAATGGGGGTGGTGGGGTCTAATGGGATTGATGGGGTCTAATGGGGCTTGGTGGGGTTGGTGGGGTCTAATGGGGGTGGTGGGGTCTAATGGGGGGTCTAATGGGGTTGGTGGGGTCTAATGGGGAGTCTAATGGGGTTGGTGGGATCTAATAGGGGTGGTGGGGATCTAATGGGGTTGGTGGGGTCTAATGGGGGTGGTGGGGTCTAATGGGGCTTGGTGGGGTCTAATGGGGGGTCTAATGGGGTTAGTGGGGTCTAATGGGGTTGGTGGGTTTTAATGGGGTTGGTGGGGTCTATTGGGGGGTCTATTGGGGGGTCTAATGGGGGGTCTAATGGGGTTGGTGGGGTCTAATAGGTGTGGTGGGGATCTAATGGGGTTTTTGGGGTCTAATAGGGGTGGTGGGGATCTAATGGGGTTGGTGGGGTCTAATGGGGGTGGTGGGGATCTAATGGGATTGGTGGGGTCTAATGGGGTTGATAGGGTCTAATGGGGCTTGGTGAGAGGTGATGGGGTTTGTGGGGTCTAATGGGGGTGGTGGGGTCTAATGGGGGTGGTGGGGTCTAATGAGGGGTCTAATGGGGTTGGTGGGGTCTATTGGGGGGTCTAATGGGGTTGGTGGGGTCTAATGGGGTTGGTGGGGTCTAATGGGGGTGATGGGGGTCTAATGGGGGTGGTGGGGTCTAATGGGATTGATGGGGTCTAATGGGGCTTGGTGGGGTTGGTGGGGTCTAATGGGGGTGGTGGGGTCTAATGGGGGGTCTAATGGGGTTGGTGGGGTCTAATGGGGGGTCTAATGGGGTTGGTGGGATCTAATAGGGGTGGTGGGGATCTAATGGGGTTGGTGGGGTCTAATGGGGGTGGTGGGGTCTAATGGGCATGGTGGGGTCTAATGGGAGTGGTGGGGTCTAATGGGGGGTCTAATGGAGTTAGTGGGGTCTAATGGGGTTGGTGGGGTCTAATGGGGGTGGTGGGGTCTAATGGGGGTGGTGGGGTCTAATGGGGGGTCTAATGGGGTTGGTGGGGTCTAATGGGGTTGGTGGGGTCTAATGGGGGTGGTGGGGTCTAATGGGGTTGGTGGGGTCTAATGGGGTTGGTGGGGTCTAATGGGGGTGATGGGGGTCTAATGTGGTTGGTGGGGTCTAATGTGGTTGGTGGGGTCTAATGGGCGTGGTGGGGATCTAATGGGGGGTCTAATGGAGTTAGTGGGGTCTAATGGGGTTGGTGGGGTCTAATGGGGGGTCTAATGGGGTTGGTGGGGTCTAATGGGGGTGATGGGGGTCTAATGGGGGTGGTGGGTTCTAATGGGGTTGGTGGGACCTAAAGGGGGTTGATGGTCTCTAAAGGTCAAGGTAGGATCTAAAGGGATCTGGTGGAACCTAAAGATCTTGGTGGGACCCACAGGTGATGTTGGGCCCCATAGGTCATGGTGACACCCATAGATCACGGTGGCACCCATAGATAACCGTGGCACCCATAGGTCATGGTGACACCCATAGGTGCTGGTAGCACCCATAGTTTATGGTGGTACTTATAGATCATGGTGGCACCCATAGGTCATGGTGGCACCCATAGGTGCTGGCAGCATCATAGCTCATGGTGGCACCCATAGATCATGGTAGCACCCACACATGCTCGTGGCACCCATAGGTGCTGGTAGCACCCATAGGTGCTGTTGGGACCCACCTTCCAAGCACATGGTGGAGAAGAAGGCGATGTTCCGGGTCTCCAGGGGGGACTCATGGGTGCACTCGGGTGACCGCGTCTGAGGCTCCGACTCGCCGGTCAGGGATGAGTTGTCCACCTGGAGATGATGGGGATGGAGGCCTCAGCCCCATGGAGGTGGACCAGGGACCTGTCTCTATCCATCCCATCTCCATCCATCCCATCTCCATCCATCTCCATCCATCTCCATCCATCCCATCTCCATCCATCTCCACCCATCCCATCTCCACTCTCCATCCATCTCCATCCATCCCATCTCCATCCATCCATCCATCTCCATCCATCCCATCCCATCTCCATCCATCCATCCATCCACCATCCATCTCCATCCATCTCCATCCATCCCATCTCCATCCCATCTCCACCCATCCCATCTCCATCCATCCATCTCCATCCATCTACATCCATCCCATCTCCATCCATCTCCATCCATCTCCATCCATCCCATCTCCATCTATCCATCTCCATCCATCTCCATCCATCCCATCTCCATCCATCTCCATCCATCCATCTCCATCCATCCATCTCCATCCATCTCCATCCATCCATCTCCATCCATCTCCATCCATCCCATCTCCATCCATCCATCTCCATCCATCTCCATCCATCTCCATCCATCCCCATCCATCTCCATCCATCTCCATCCATCTCCATCCATCCATCTCCATCCATCCCCATCCATCTCCATCCATCTCCATCCATCTCCATCCATCTCCATCCATCCCCATCCATCTCCATCCATCTCCATCCATCTCCATCCATCTCCATCCATCTCCATCCATCCATCTCCATCCATCCCATCTCCATCCATCCCATCCATCTCCATCCATCTCCATCCATCTCCATCCATCCCATCTCCATCCATCTCCATCCCATCTCCATCCATCTCCATCCATCTCCATCCATCTCCATCCATCTCCATCCATCCCATCTCCATCCATCTCCATCCATCTCCATCCATCTCCATCCATCTCCATCCATCTCCATCCATCTCCATCCATCCCCACCCCACCCCACGCCACCCCACGGCACCTTGCAGCCCTGGGCCGAGATGATGCGGATGTCGGCCGGGACGCGGTCCCCCCCCTTGATCTCCACCAGGTCCCCAACCACCAGCTCGTTGGCGTTCACCTGGACCTTCTCCCCCTCTCGGATCACCGTGGCTTGCTGCAGGGGACAGCAGGGACCATGAGATCCATGGGGGGGGCATAGGGGGAAGGGGAGGTCCCTATGGGGTCTATGGGGTGAAGGAGAGGTCCATATGGGGTCTATGGGGTGAAGGAGAGGTCCATATGGGGTCTATAGGGTGAAGGGGAGGTCTACATGGGGTCTATGGGGTGAAGGAGAGGTCCATATGGGGTCTATAGGGTGAAGGAGAGGTCCATATGGGGTCTATAGGGTGAAGGAGAGGTCCATATGGGGTCTATAGGGTGAAGGAGAGGTCCATATGGGGTCTATAGGGTGAAGGGGAGGTCTATATGGGGTCTATAGGGTGAAGGTGAGGTCTATATGGGGTCTATAGGGTGAAGGGGAGGTCCATATGGGTTCTCGATGATGTCCCTATGGGGTTCTCCATGATGGAGATGATGTCCCTATGGGTTCTCAATGATGTCCCTATGGGTTCTCCATGATGGACATGATGTCCCTATGGGTTCTCCATGATGGGCATAACGTCCCTATGGGTTCTGCATGATGTCCCTATGGGTTCTCCATGATGGACATGATGTCCCTATGGGTTCTCCATGATGTCCCTATGGGTTCTCCATGATGGAGATGATGTCCCTATGGGTTCTGCATGATGTCCCTATGGGTTCTCCATGATGGAGATGATGTCCCTATGGGTTCTCCATGATGTCCCTATGGGTTCTCCATGATGGAGATGATGTCCCTATGGGTTCTCCATGATGTCCCTATGGGTTCTCCATGATGGACATGATGTCCCTATGGGTTCTCCATGATGAAGATGATGTCCCTATGGGTTCTCAATGATGTCCCTATGGGTTCTCCATGATGTCACTATGGGTTCTCCATGATGTCCCTATGGGTTCTCCATGATGACCATGATGTCCCTATGGGGTTCTCCATGATGGAGATGATGTCCCTATGGGTTCTGCATGATGTCCCTATGGGTTCTCCATGATGTCCCTATGGGTTCTCCATGATGTTCCTATGGGTTCTCCATGATGACCATGCTGTCCCTGTCCCCCCCCCTCACCTGAGGCACCAGGTTCTTGAAGCTGGCGATGATGTTGGTGCTCTTGAACTCCTGGTAGTAACCGAAGCACCCGGTGACCACCACGACGGCGATGAGGGCGATGGCCAAGTAGAGCTATGGGGCGAAGAGCGCATTGAGGTCAACCCCACGGCGGTTCTTCTCCCCCATTGGGTTCTAGAAGTGTACGTGTGGGGTTCCAACCCCCCCCCACATCCCCACATCCCCACCGTGGTCTTCACCCCACAAGGAACCCAACCTACGTTGTCGGAGCTGCCGCGGTCGCCTTCGCCCTCTTGCACCCCATAAGCGATGAGGCAAATGGCGGCCGCCACCCACATGAGGCACTGGAGACCCCCCGCCAGTTGACGCCCAAACTTGACGCATTCCGGGGTGCCCCGAGGGGGGCGGAGCTCGTTGGGACCGTCCCGAAGGAGCCTCTCGGCCGCTACGGCCTCCATAAGGCCCTGGTTGGGGGGCGAGGGGGGGAAAAGGGGGGGATGGGGGGGGTGGGGGGAATGGGGGCAATGGGGCAATGGGGGGAATGGGGCAATGGGGGCAATGGGGGGAATGGGGGGAATGGGGGAATGGGGCAATGGGGGGAATGGGAGAATAGGGGGAATGGGGGGAATGGGGGAATGGGGGGAATGGGGGGAATGGGGGAATGGGGGCAATGGGGGTAATGGGGGTAATGGGGGAATGGGGGGAATGGGGGGAATGGGGGGAATGGGGCAATGGGGGCAATGGGGGAATGGGGGGAATGGGGCAATGGGGCAATGGGGGGAATGGGGGTAATGGGGGCAATGAGGGGAACAGGGGGAATAGGGGGAATGGGGGTGATGGGGCAATGGGGGTAAGGGGGGTAAGGGGGTAATGGGGTTAATGGGGCAATGAGGGGAATGGGGGAATGGGGTAAGGGGGGCAATGGGAGTAATGGGGAAATGGGGGCAATGAAGTTAATGGGGGTAATGGGGCAATGGGGGAATGGGGGGAATGGGGGGAATGGGGGCAATGGGGCAATGTGGGTAAGGGGGTAATTGGGGGAATAGGGGGAATGGGGGTAATGGGAGTAATGGGGGCAAGGGGGCAATGGGGTAATGGGGGTTATGGGGGTCATAGGGGGAAGGGGGGGATTAGGGGGAATGGGGTCAGTGAGGTTCTATGTGGGTCAATGGGGATCTACGGGGGTCAATGGCGATCAATGGGGATCAATAGGGATCTATGGGGGTCAATGGGGATCTATGGGGGTCAATGGGGATCTATGGGTTTCAATGGGGATCAATAGGGATCTATGGGGGTCAATGGGGGTCAATGGGGATCAATGGGTTTTCAATGGGGATCAATAGGGATCTATGGGGGTCAATGGGTGTCAGTGGGGATAAATGGGTGTCAACGGGGATCAATGGTGGTCATTGGGGATATATGGGGATCTGTGGGGTTCAATGGGGTTCAATGGGGGTCAATGGGTGTCAGTGGGCATCAATGGGGGTCAATGGGGTTCAATGGGGTTCAATGGGGTTCTATGGGGGTCAATGGGGTTCTATGGGTGTCAGTGGGGTTCAATGGGGGTCAATGGGGTTCTATGGGGTTCAATGGGGTCAATGGGTGTCAATGGGGTTCAATGGGGTCAATGGGTGTCAATGGGGTTCAATGGGGTCAATGGGGTTCTATGGGGCTCTATGGGGTTCTATGGGGTTCTATGGGGTTCAATGGTTTCAATGGTGTTCAATGGTGTTCTATGGGGTTCTATGGGGTTCAATGGTTTCAATGGTGTTCAATGGTGTTCTATGGGGTTCTATGGGGTTCTATGGGGTTCAATGGTTTCAATGGTGTTCAATGGTGTTCTATGGGGTTCTATGGGGTTCTATGGGGTTCAATGGTTTCAATGGTGTTCAATGGTGTTCTATGGGGTTCTATGGGGTTCTATGGGGTTCAATGGTTTCAATGGTGTTCAATGGGTTTCTATGGGGTTCTATGGGGTTCTATGGTTTCAATGGTGTTCAATGGTGTTCTATGGGGTTCTATGGGGTTCAATGGTTTCAATGGTGTTCAATGGGTTTCTATGGGGTTCTATGGGGTTCTATGGTTTCAATGATGTTCAATGGGGTTCTATGGGGTTCTATGGGGTTCTATGGGGTTCTATGGGGTTCTATGGGTTTCTATGGGTTTCTATGGGGTTCTGTGGGGTTCTATGGTTTCAATGGTGTTCAATGGGGTTCTATGGGGTTCTATGGGGTTCAATGAGGTCAGTGGTGTTCTATGGGGTTCAATGGGGTTCTATGGGGTTCTATGGGTTTCTATGGGTTTCTATGGGGTTCAATGGGGTTCAATGGTTTCAATGGTGTTCAATGGTGTTCTATGGGTTTCTATGGGGTTCTATGGGGTTCAATGGTTTCAATGGTGTTCAATGGTGTTCTATGGGGTTCTATGGGGTTCTATGGGGTTCAATGGTGTTCTATGGGTTTCTATGGGGTTCTGTGGGGTTCTATGGGGTCAATGGGCTCACCTTGGTGACACTGGTGCTGTATTTGCTCTCCAGGTCGTTGGTGTCCAGCTTGTGGTCATCCTGGGGGCAGCGACCCCTGACCTCTGACCTCCCAGTCCCTCCCAGTCCCTCCCAGTATGGACCTCCCAGTGCCCCCCCATTGGCTCCCATTGAGCTCCCAGTGCCCCCATTGGCTCCCATTGAGCTCCCAGTGCCCCCATTGGCTCCCAGTGCCCCCATTGACTCCCATTGAGCTCCCAGTGCCCCATTGACTCCCATTGAGCTCCCAGTGCCCCATTGACTCCCATTGAGCTCCCAGTGCCCCCATTAGCTTCCATTGAGCTCCCAGTGCCCCCCCATTGGCTCCCATTGAGCTCTCAGTGCCCTCCCATTGGCTCCCATTGAGCTCCCAGTGCCCCATTGACTCCCATTGAGCTCCCAGTGCCCCCATTAGCTTCCATTGAGCTCCCAGTGCCCCCCCATTGGCTCCCATTGAGCTCTCAGTGCCCCCCCATTGGCTTCCATTGAGCTCTCAGTGCCCCCCCATTGGCTCCCATTGAGCTCCCAGTGCTCTCATTGGCTCCCATTGAGCTCCCAGTGCCCCCATTGGCTTCCATTGAGTTCCCAGTGCCCCCATTGGCTCCCATTGAGCTCCCAGTGCCCCCCCATTGGCTCCCACTGAGCTCCCAGTGCCCCCATTGGCTCCCATTGAGCTCCCAGTGCTCTCATTGGCTCCCATTGAGTTCCCAGTGCCCCCATTGGCTCCCATTGAGCTCCCAGTGCCCCCATTGGCTCCCATTGAGCTCCCAGTGCCCCCATTGGCTCCCATTGAGCTCCCAGTGCCCCCCATTGGCTCCCACTGAGCTCCCAGTGCCCCCATTGGCTCCCACTGAGCTCCCAGTGCCCCCATTGGCTCCCATTGAGCTCCCAGTGCCCCATTGACTCCCATTGAGCTCCCAGTGCCCCCATTAGCTTCCATTGAGCTCCCAGTGCCCCCCCATTGGCTCCCATTGAGCTCCCAGTGCCCCCATTGGCTCCCATTGAGCTCCCAGTGCTCTCATTGGCTCCCATTGAGTTCCCAGTGCCCCCATTGGCTCCCATTGAGCTCCCAGTGCCCCCCCATTGGCTCCCAGTGCCCCCATTGGCTCCCATTGAGCTCCCAGTGCCCCCATTGGCTCCCAGTGCCCCCATTGGCTCCCATTGAGCTCCCAGTGCCCCCCCATTGGCTCCAATTGAGCTCCCAGTGCCCCCATTGGCTCCCATTGAGCTCCCAGTTCCCCCATTGGCTCCCAGTGCCCCCATTGGCTCCCATTGAGCTCCCAGTGCCCCCATTGGCTCCCAGTGCCCCCATTGGCTCCCATTGAGCTCCCAGTGCCCCCATTGGCTCCCAGTGCCCCCATTGGCTCCCAGTGCCCTCCTACCACGTCCATTTCCTTCTTCATGTCCTCCAGCTTCTCCTTGCGGTGGCCTCGGCCCTTGCCTTTGGCTGGGGCTTTGCCCCGCGGCCCCATCTCGTAGCTCTAGGGCAGGAGATGACTTCGTCATCGTCATCGTTATCGGCATCCATCATCATCATCATCATCGTCATCGTCATCATCATCCATCATCATCATCATCATCATCGTCGTCAACGTCATCATCATCCATCATCGTCATCGTCATAGTCATCGTCATCGTCATCATCATCGTCATCGTCGTCATCGTCATCGTCATCGTCATCGTCATCGTCATCGTCATCATCATCATTGTCATCGTCATCATAATCCATCATCGTCGTCGTCGTCATCGTCGTCATCTTCCATCATCGTCATCGTCATCATAATCATTGGCGTCATCGTCATCATCATCCATCATCGTCATCGTCATCATCATCGTCATCATCATCGTCATCATCATCATCATCGTCGTCATCGTCATCATCATCCATCATCGTCATCGTCATCGTCATCGTCATCGTCATCGTCATCGTCATCATCATCGTCGTCATTGTCATCATCATCCGTCATCGTCGTCATCGTCATCATCATCCGTCATCGTCATCGTCATCGTCATCGTCATCATCATCATCGTCATCGTCATCGTCATCGTCATCATCATCATTGTCATCGTCATCATCATCATCATCGTCATCATCATCCATCATCGATATCATCATCGTCATCGTCATCGTCATCCATCATCATCCTCATCATCATCCATCATCATCATCATCACCATCATCATCATCATCATCATCATCACCATCATCATCATCATCATCATCCATCATCATCCATCATCGTCATCACCATCACCACCATCATCCTCCTCCTCCTCCTCCTCCATCCCTATATCCCACCTCCACCCCCCCAATCCCCCCCCATCTCCCCCTTACCTCCTTCCCCATAGCAGCTCCCCTTCGCTCTCAGTCCCCTCCCAGCCCCACAGCCTCCCTTTATACCCTAGCCCAAGGTGACCCCCAAGTGTGGGCCCTCCCCATAGGGCCGTGTCCTTGGCGTCCTTCGCCCCTATCAGCAGGGACCTTATCAGTGGGGCACGCAATGGAGCAGCCGTGGGGCTGGTTAATCATTGATGGGGCCTTATCTCAGCAGTGACCTTCAAGGAGAAGCAAGGGCCCCACATGGGGTCCAATGGGGGGGGCTGGGACCCATAAGTAGAGAGGAACATGGGGGTATGGGGTGTGGGCTGTGGGGTATGGGGTGTGGGGTGTGGGGTGTGGGGTATGGGGTGTGGGGTGTGGGGTGTGGGGTGTGGGGTGGGGATATGGGGTGTGGGTGTGGGGTGTGGTGTGTGGGTATGGGGTGTGGGGTGTGGGGTGTGGGGTATGGGGTGTGGGGTGTGGGGTGTGGGGTGTGGGGTATGGGGTGTGGGTGTGGGGTGTGGGGTGTGGGGTATGGGGTGTGGGGTATGGGGTGTGGGGTGTGGGGCATGGGATATGGGGTATGGGATATGGGATATGGGGTATGGGGTATGGGGTATGGGTATGGGATATGGGGCATGGGATATGGGGTATGGGATATGGGATATGGGGCATGGGATATGGGGTATGGGATAGGGGTATGGGGTATGGGATATGGGGTATGGGGTATGGGGTGTGGGGTGGTGGGATGTGGGGTATGGGGTGTGGGGTATGGGGTATGGGATGTGGGGTATGGGGTGTGGGGTATGGGGTGTGGGGTATGGGGTGTGGGGTATGGGGTGTGGGGTGTGGGATGTGGGGTATGGGGTATGGGGTATGGGGTATGGGATGTGGGGTGTGGGGTGTGGGGTGTGGGGTGTGGGGTATGGGATGTGGGGTGTGGGGTATGGGGTGTGGGATATGGGGTGTGGGGTATGGGGTATGGGATGTGGGGTATGGGGTGTGGGGTATGGGGTGTGGGGTATGGGGTATGGGGTATGGGGTATGGGGTATGGGATATGGGGTGTGGGGTATGGGATATGGGGTATGGGATATGGGGTATGGGATGTGGGGTATGGGGTGTGGGGTATGGGGTATGGGATGTGGGGTATGGGGTGTGGGGTGTGGGGTGTGGGGTATGGGGTGTGGGGTGTGGGATGTGGGGTATGGGGTATGGGATATGGGGTATGGGATATGGGGTATGGGGTATGGGATATGGGATATGGGGTATGGGGTATGGGATATGGGGTATGGGGTATGGGGTGTGGGGTGTGGGATGTGGGGTATGGGATATGGGGTGTGGGATGTGGGGTATGGGGTGTGGGGTATGGGGTATGGGATGTGGGGTATGGGGTGTGGGGTATGGGGTGTGGGGTATGGGGTGTGGGGTATGGGGTGTGGGGTGTGGGATGTGGGGTATGGGGTATGGGGTATGGGGTATGGGGTATGGGGTATGGGATATGGGATGTGGGGTGTGGGGTATGGGGCATGGGATATGGGGTATGGGATATGGGGTGTGGGATATGGGGTGTGGGATATGGGGTGTGGGATATGGGGTGTGGGATATGGGGTGTGGGATATGGGGTGTGGGGTATGGGGTGTGGGGTATGGGATATGGGGTATGGGGTGTGGAACATTGGGGGCTGGTGATGGCCAATGGGGACATGGGATCAATGGGGAGATGGGGTCAATGGGGCAGGGGGTCAATGGGGACATTGGGGGCTGATGGTGGCCAATGGGACATGGGGTCAATGGGGCAGGGGGTCAATGGGGAAATGGGGTCAATGGGGACATGGGGCCAATGGGGACATGGGGTCAATGGGGACATTGGGGGCTGATGGTGGCCAATGGGGGCTCAGATAAAGGCTAGGCTCCATAGGTCACCATAGGACTCCATAGGGCTCCATAGGGCCCCATAGCGCCCCATAGCGCCCCATAGGTCTCCATAGGGCCTCATAGGGCTCCATAGGTCTCCATAGGTCTCCATAGCTCCCCATAGCGCCCCATAGCGCCCCATAGGTCTCCATAGGGCTCCATAGGGCTCCATAGGGCTCCATAGGGCTCCATAGATCTCTATAGGTCTCCATAGGGCCCATAGTGCCCCATAGGTCTCCATAGCGCCCCATAGCGCCCCATAGCACCCCATAGGTCTCCATAGCGCCCCATAGCGCCCCATAGGTCTCCATAGGGCCCCATAGCGCCCCATAGGTCTCCATAGCGCCCCATAGCGCCCCATAGCGCCCCATAGGTCTCCATAGCACCCCATAGCGCACCATAGCGCCCCATAGGTCTCCATAGCGCCCCATAGCGCCCCATAGCACCCCATAGGTCTCCATAGCGCCCCATAGCGCCCCTTAGGTCTCCATAGCGCCCCATAGCGCCCCATAGGTCTCCATAGGGCCCCATAGCGCCCCATAGCGCCCCATAGGTCTCCATAGGGCCCCATAGCGCCCCATAGGTCTCCATAGCGCCCCACAGCGCCCCATAGCGCCCCATAGGTCTCCATAGGGCCCCATAGCACCCCATAGCGCCCCATAGGTCTCCATAGGGCTCCATAGCGCCCCATAGGGCTCCATAGTGCCCCATAGCGCCCCATAGCACCCCATAGCGCCCCATAGGTCTCCATAGCGCCCCATAGCGCCCCATAGCACCCCATAGCGCCCCATAGGTCTCCATAGCGCCCCATAGCGCCCCATAGCACCCCATAGCGCCCCATAGGTCTCCATAGAGCCCCATAGTGCCCCATAGCGCCCCATAGGTCTCCATAGCGCCCCATAGCGCCCCATAGCGCCCCATAGCGCCCCATAGGTCTCCATAGCGCCCCATAGCGCCCCATAGGTCTCCATAGGGCCCCATAGCGCCCCATAGGTCTCCATAGCACCCCATAGCGCGCCATAGCGCCCCATAGGTCTCCATAGCGCCCCATAGAGCCTCATAGCGCCCCATAGGTCTCCATAGCGCCCCATAGCGCCTCATAGCGCCCCATAGGTCTCCATAGAGCCCCGTAGCGCCCCATAGCGCCCCTTAGGTCTCCATAGCGCCCCATAGCGCCCCATAGCACCCCATAGGTCTCCATAGCGCCCCATAGCACCCCATAGGTCTCCATAGCACCCCATAGCACCCCATAGGTCTCCATAGCGCCCCATAGCGCCCCATAGGTCTCCATAGGGCCCCATAGCGCCCCATAGCGCCCCATAGCGCCCCATAGCGCCCCATAGGGCAGCGCCTGCATTACCCCCTGCGGCCACACGATGGCGGCATCACCGCCCTGACCAACCCCAATCCCCCCCCTCCCCTCCCCCCGTTGCCAAGCAACAGCCAATCAGCGCCCGCGCCTCCCTCTACATCCCGTTGCTAAGCAACCGCCCCCCCCCCCTTTCCCCTTTCCAACCCCATTGAGTGGCTACAGCCAATCAGCGGCCGCCTTCGGAGCTCCGTCCCGCCCCTTATGGGGCGCAAGGGGCTTTACGGCGCTGCTGATTGGCTGAGGGAAGGCGGGGGGTGGGGTTTAAGGGGGGGAGCAGCCAATGGGGTGAGGGAGCTTGGAGCGAGGATGCGCAAAGGGATGGAAGGGACCAGAAGGAGGAAGGGGCCGCGGGTCCTGAGGTAAAAGGACCCGGGATGGGGGGCGGGGGGGGGGAGATGTGGGGCTGGGGGGGGGGGTGGGGGGGGGCTATGGGGCGCCCCACATGCATTGATGGTCATTGAACCAGCCCCACATCCGTCCAACCCCGGTAATCCAGCCCCATATCTGCTGGCCTCCGTTAACTCTGCCCCACATCTATGGGCCCGCATTAACCCAGCCCCACATCTATGGGCCCGCATTAACCCAGCCCCACATCCATAGAACCGCATTAACTCAGCCCCACATCTATGGGACCCCATTAACCCAGCCCCACATCTATGGGCCCCCATTAATCCAGCCCCACATCTATGGGCCCCCATTAATCCAGCCCCACATCTATGGGCCCGCATTAATCCAGCCCCACATCTATGGGCCCGCATTAATCCAGCCCCACATCTATGGGCCCGCATTAATCCAGCCCCACATCTATGGGCCCCCATTAACCCAGCCCCACAACCATAGAACCGCATTAACTCAGCCCCACATCTATGGGCCCCCATTAACCCAGCCCCACATCTAT